CCGTGTTCTTCTTCGGCGTGGTTGATGGAGATGGACCGCGCTCGTCGTCGCTTGAGTCGGAGTGGGACGGGGTAGACGACATGAAGAGTGAAGATGCAGCTACAAGCGTGCGGGGCTCATAACCTGTTGGGTTCGCGCGGATGTGAGGTGTCTGCGCTTGTAAAGTTTTGCTTCACTTCTAGACTACTTTTATACTAGTCTTTCGTTTGTATGGGCTATTAGGAGTACTCTCCTCTACGGATTGCTAATATATTACTAGTCTCTTGGACTTGTCTGCTCGGATTGGCATCGGATCATGTTCAGGGGCTTCTATTTACTTTTTAGGAGCTTTTCTTAGTAATCGCTCCACACAGGAGCCTCATGCGCAGTTTCTACGCATGTCTGGGCAGTGCCCAGGTATCCGACGTCTCGGACATGTCGGGAGTGACATGATGTCTTTTATTCATCTCCCAACAGATAGTCGGGGAGCAATTCCTCTTATACCGCGACTGCGAGTCCTTGATACCACAACGAACCAATATCATACTCTAGGACCTTGCGCCCATGCAGCGAGCCGATGGACATTTGAACACTATAATGGGCCACAACGTTGAAACTTGGTTGCAATTGTGGTTTATAAATAGATAGGAAAATGGGGAACTTCAAAGACACCACTCACTATCCCATTGACGTTGAAATGCATGGTAGTGGAAAGAGATAAAGGAGGGTGGGGGAAACATCATCCGGAGTTCGAATTCGTTAAGAAATGTCTTGCATTTGAAGATGGTGGCGCGCGCACGGGGCTATTGCTGGACTTGACCAAATGAATTCGAGGGGGCTTCTTTTCGGGTGCCATCGAGTCTTCAGTGTGCTTCCATTCCGTCGCACCATCTTGACTTGCCTAAAGATGGTGTTTCGGAAGCGTTTTCAGGCAAACGGGGATCAACTTTTTCGGTGTCTTGACTCCTGCGGCGGCGCCAAAACTGGCTCGCCACCATCGCGGGCCTAAATGGTATTACTACGCATTGCTTGGGTGTGCGATGATCAGTGTTGTCGCCGCTTGCTTCTGTATCGGCTGTGCGATTACGCTCCCCGGTCGTGACACACCCAGACCGTAAGTTATCTTACTCTTCTTGAGCGTGCGACAACCTGTGTCTTCGAATCCGCGCGCGAAATTATATCTACTTAGGCTGTTCCACTTTGTCCCGATGACGGCTACTGTACTTTTTCGACCTTAGGTTCGGTCCCCTGTCCCCCCCTCCCCACGAACCGAACCTAACATGGGGGGACAGTCCACCCCATAACTGAAGCCACGAACTTAACAGGGGGGACGTACCGTAAAATAGGCATAAATATGATTAAATTACCAGAAAATATTAAAGAAATCATACTCAAAGTATTCTGATAGCCTATGCTACCATTGCTGTATGTTAAACACCCCAGCTAATTAAGTTCTCAAAGGATTCCTTCTATCCAGGTACTTGCAGAGAATTGGAGATCACATCAGGCTCATTGTCCATGGCAGGGGCCATGTGGAGCCCAGAGCCCCCAGAACTCAATCAGCGAGACTGTGGGAACTCGACCATGTTGAGTACTGTATAAACTGGCAAGTAACCAATGAGTGCAAAGTCTTTGATACATAGCGGGGTCGGAGGGGTGAGCACAACGTCTTGAACACCTGTGCCAATGACCAGCTCGAGGTTGGTTTGGTTTGTATCGATGTCGGGAACGTTATTGAGAGCGCCACCAGGACCTTAGTCAAAGTGTATACAGCACCTATATTTTCCATTATGATCATTTTCGTTATCAGTATCGAGGCCTGCTGAGCGAGCACGAACTAACTGTCCACCCTCGGTTTGGCCCACCGAACCTATAGGGGGGGACAGACGGTTATGGAAGGTGCGTTAAAACTCCGACTTCCCACGCCACCGCGAACCTAAGGTCGAAAAAGTACAGTATTGTCGTCCAGAAAAGTTGTGTATGGCGCAATTTGGGCAAATCTAGCAAAAGAAAGTCACTTGTAAATGATATAGGTGTGCTCAGAGGACCGCTGGCATCTTGGCTGGCATTTCTTCTAGGCTTCAAAAATGTATGTACTGTACCTTTTCGATCTTAAGTTCTGTCCTGTGTCCCATGGGCCCATGAACAGAACTTAAAACATGGGACAGTCCCACTGATTTGGACCCTGACGAACTTATAAACGGGACATATCGTAGAATATCAAAATGAAGAAACATGTTGATTAACAATATTAAGAAGCAGGAAAATAAACCAATATTCGTGGCTGGAATGCCAGACCTATCCAGCAATAGCTTGCATGTCTCACACAAATTGATAATCTACCTTGTTTGCAAGTGTTACTGCATGATGGGTAGAATTCTGACCATAAAAATCTCAGAGCGAACAGTGGCATAGTGCTATAACAAGCTTGCAACTGAAGGTGATTGTTCGACGTCATATTGAATGCTGTTGTAAGGGCCACTCTCACTGAGGGGCTGTGTACTGCATCATAAAAGCACCATGGCCGATGCTCGGCTGCATGGCATCCTCATCCTCAGGTTCACTCCCTGGGTCGCCCACCCTAGCACGCGAACTTTGTCCCACCTCTACAAGACTCAGCGAACCTAAATTCGGGACATACAGAATAGGAAGGTGCTGATTTATAATGTTTTTCCACGCCACTGAGAACTTAAGATCGAAAAGGTACAGTAGGGTTTTTTGAGGCTACAGAAGACACTGAATTACATGAATATTAAGTTCGTATAAGCTCTTGGCTGGATATAAGGTAAAGGGGAAAAAAACACAAAGCGGAGGTGTTTCACAGGGGGTACATTGTTTCACAGTGAGGGCATCGATAGTACTCTGACAAAGGCTTAGAACGCGTCACAGGATGTGATCGATTATCGCACAGCCTTTTCATTACACTAAAATACTTACTATGGCAAGGGTTCAAAAACCGTCAAAAATGTTCACACAGCACTGTAAGTCTAATGGCGTTATCACAGCGCTCAAAGCGCTTACAAATCTCATGCACTTTTAGTGATGGCCTCTGATCCGCGCTCCAGATCCTGGCGTTGTGATTTTGTGTCAAAGAGTGACTTTTCTTTGCGTAATGTAAGCCACACTTTTGAAATGGACTGAAAGTTCAATGGTTTTGCAGTTTGGGAACTGACCTCTCTTTTCTGGAAGATGATGTACTATTTGCTACCTGGGTGATGTCAGTGAGCACTTCAAGATCGAGATTGATCAGCACCAATTTACGTGATGGCTGGTCAGCAGGTCCTGGAACGTCATGAAGGCTTCCATTGGCCTTCGCCATGGAAGCAACTTCCACAATGGAAGCCTAACGAGAGCTGCATATAAAGCGCCTCTACTCTCGAGCGTATACCTCCATCTTCCTTGACCTCCTCGTATATTCCTATCAATTCAACTGTGTCGATCGACACCATGTCTAAGCCCAGCCCTGGTCGATATGTTATCTATCATCGCATCCAAAGCTCATCCGGCGAAAGGCTCGCTATCACTTACAACGGGCAGAACGGGTACCCTACTGTCAACCCCCTGACGTACGAGGACAACCAAATCGTAAGCGCTATGTTTCGGATGAAATCCTACTACGTCACACTGAAACTAGCGTACGTTACTAGTGGATCATCCAGAATTACAACGACACTACCCAGTCCATCTCACCGGCATCGAACTCTAACCTCCAGTGTGGCTGGGGAGATAACGCCGTAATCGTGCTTCCGCCGCAAGCCTACGTCTGGATCATCAGGAATAACGCTTCAGGTTATACGTAGGCACTATTAATTTGACGGATATTGCCCTGAGCTAATGACGCATCCAGCATCCAGGACGGCGGCCAGACGGTTTACTGGGGTCTCGATGAAGCGGAGGAAAAACAGAATGTACGGAGTTTCTCTTGATGATCGTGCAATCCCGCATGTTGACTCGGAACCAATGATAGGTTACGATTAAACAGGGCGAAGGTGGCATTTTTCAGAGCTGGATCCTCAAACAAGTGTGATAGATCAGACTAGCTGGCTCAATGTAACGGAATTATTTTGGTTTATTCTATGCTCTACTTTGTTTCTAAGATGTATTAGTAGCCCATATGGCGCGCTCTGTTCGATATTCTGCTTTGTTTATGAAAATGCCCCGCAGTAGATTACTTGTTGCTTTGGTCTTACGACGTATATAGACACGCTGTATCGTAGATTACCTCCTTACGAGGTTGCAACGGAGTTTTCTCACTCACGCCGCGCGACTTCTCGAATTCCAACACAATGTTGACTGTAGAACGAAAGATAGGGTGTTTGAAGCAAGTGTAATACTAATTAACCGTGACATTGTCAATTGTTTGGTTCTTTGCGTGAATCACCTATTCTGCTTTGTAGGCCTGCTTAACCTGTCTGGCATCAATGGTGTGCCCAATATTATTACGGCGCCCTTGACCCATTTGAGATCTCATTTACTTACACTATGAGTACAAGCATACTATACATTGACCTCTATGTAGATTCCCCTACAAGTTTCCATGGCACGAAGAGTTCAAGGTAGCAGAACCAGCTCCAGCCAAAGCATGCGATTAAGTAGGACCAGACGGCTTTCGTCCCCACATGTTCACGAAAAAGCCAGATCCTAGTTTCTCCCTATACACGATGAGTGAGCACAACTGGTTTCCACGCGTATAGAACGAAGAGAGGAAGAACTCAGACAGCCCAGCAAACACCCGCCATACTCACCTAACATCAGCCTGCTCATCCACGACGCCCCTAACCGCCCTCCGCACCTCCGCGTCCCTCTCCTCTCCCCGCTTACACGCCCGCCCAAGCTCCTCCCGCAACTCGCCCACCTCCCCCTGCAGCCCCCTCGCGCGGTCCACCGCAACGCGAACCGCCTCCTTCTGCATCTCGACCTCCAGCGCCGACGCGCGCTGCGCCACGGCCACGCTGTGCTCCAGCGCGTCCAGCCGACGGTGCAACGTCGAGAAGCTCCGCCGCATGAAGAGGCACGGGGCAAGCGCGACGGGGAGGAGCACGGCGCCCAGTGCGGCGACGTGGAAGATGGCGGGGAAGTCCTGTGGCTGCCTCAGCACCTTGGCGCTGATATTAGCGCCCGCGGTTGTGGGCTTGTCCTCCTCATTGCTGATAGCAGCATCTAACGGGGCGGTATGGCTGGGAGAAGAGGACACTTGATCAGAGAACGGGGTCCACATTGGGGCGCGAGCGATGGCAAGGTGGAGAGACGTACTGGGCTCCTTCTCAGGAGACCTTACCTAAATAACAGGGGCCTTACGGCATGACGCACGCGATCGCTCGCACTATATGTTTACATGTTTACGACAACCGGCGCCCACCCAGCACAAACATCTCAACGCAGACTATATTCGACCTCACCGGTCGCAGGCTCAGTAATAATACATACAACAGGCAATCAAGCAGTAGAAAAAGGAGAGAAAGTAAAAAAGGCAAAGAGAAAAAGACAGAAGACAGCTATCGCAGCGATAAACAGTCGTGTCTGAACCTAATACACGGGGCACGGCAATCGTGACGTATAACCATAACGCGTACATGTTACAGCAGCAGAGGCAGGGAAGTGAAAACGAGAAAAGGAGGAGACAGAAACTTAACCCAAATACGAAACCAGAAATATAGAGAAAGTCGAAGAGAATACGGAACAGTAGAAAGACATGGGGGAATTGGAAGAATGGAGCATAAGGATAATGAAAAAAGGGGGCGAGCCATATGTCACCCCTTATCGGAACTTGGAGGAATGGATTGGGGGAGGGGTGAGATAGCAGGAAGGCGTTAAGTCAGGATGGGGAATGCAAGCTACAGCAGCAGCGTAGATGACCTGATTGATAATGTGCAAGAAGTGATGAAGCGCCCCGTCGAGATAACAGTCGAGGGAACAGTCTATGATGATAACGACAGAAAAGCAGCAGCGACACGAAACCTTTGGAATATCGTTGATCTCGATATCTCGATGCCATGCGTGAATGGAAAGAGACCTTTGAGATGGAAAAGGGTGCAGCGGGGTGAAGATGCAGCGGTGCAGGCATATGCGTCAGGAATACGCTGACGGAGGACGGTGCGACGTGGTCAAGATGAAAGGCGAGAAAAAGCAAGCAAAGAAGGAGCGTGTCCGCACGCGTCATAACGAGCGGTGCGCTGATGAAAAGAGGGCCAAGCGCACGCGAGCAGCTAGCGAGGCAAAGGAACCTAGAGCATGAATCATCAGCTCCAACTGCGAGACGAACACAAAAAAGGGCACGCACGTTATACGTCTGTCCTTGTAAAAAGGGAAATAAATGGGGACGAGACGCGAAGAAACAATCCAGAAAAATAAACGAGAAAAGCAAATAATCAAATATCGACCAGTCCAACCGTCGGGCCAGCAGAGTCCCGCGCATATACCTATATCGTCTCTGATAATCCATCGTGCAGGGGATCCAGCGTGCTGATCAGCTGAGCAGAGCTATACAAAAAAATGGAGTGGGTGAATCGGAGATGGCAGCTATGAAAGTCCCAGACAGACAGACGAGAAGTGGGAAACGGATAAAAAGAGCTTCGAAAGAATAGGAAACGGGGAGACGAGGAGAAGAACCAATAGATATTGGGCTACAAAGGTTGCAGAAATTCCGATGCTTCGTGTTCGTTCGTTCGTGGGTTTCGTTCATTCGCTTTGAGGTGGTCGGTGTTGATACAGATAAAAAGGCAATACCATTAATGGAATCGAAACTTGAGGCTGAGCGAGAGCCAGAGGTCGAACCTCGGCTGGCAAGGATAAAGTGACGAGGGAGATTTGGAAAGGGCCAGAGGAGAACATGACATGGACTGGCCCGGAAATGACGGAGGAAAAGATAAGAAGCGGGGAGCGACGACGGGCCACGCATTGGCCAATCTCGCCTGTGGTTCGACGCAGGTCACTGCAGATCGGTATTCACCCTCCCCACATTCAGCTCCGCAAATCGATCCCAGCACCCAACGCCCCGCTCCCCTCCCTCGCATGCCCATGGTGCGAATGATGATGCTCCTCAAACAGCCTCCTTCCCACATCCGCCCGCAGCCCGCTCGCGCTCCCCGCCTTGACGCGCGACGCCGAGCCCGCCGAAGACGGCACAGCAGCAGCAGCGGCGGGCGACGGCGAGACGTTGATGTACTCGCTGAGATTGAACGACGCACTCGGCGTCGGCGGCGCGGCGCCGTGTGTCTGCGAGCGCGGGGACGACGAGGTCGTCGAGCGCACGGGCGAGCCGGGTTCGGCTTTCCCTGCGCCAGACGAAGAAGACCGAGCGCGTGGGGGAGAGCGTAGGAACCCAGGCGCAGGCGCCGAGGGCTCGATGGGCGTCGGCGGGATCACGTTCGGCTCACCGGGCACGGGCAGCGCAGGGGCCAGCAGGCCCAGGCTGGACCCGGCACCGATGCCGCCGGCGGGCACGGACGCAGCCGTGCTCAGCGTGTGGCTCGTACCCCCGCTCATGCCCGTCACGCTCGTCACGATGCTCCCCATGCTGCTGCGCTCCTGGCTGCTCGGCAGGAGCTCTGTCGGCTCGCGCTTCAGCGAGCCTCTCGTGGTGCCCTCTCCGGCGCCACCGCGAGACTGGGCCTTTGCGGCCGACGAGTCCCGCTCACCGCGGCCATCAGCGAAGAGCACACGCCCAGCGTTCTTGAGACTCGCAGTCCCGCCCCCGCCAAGCGCGCGGAACGCGACGCGGTCCTGCATCGCGCCCGCGTCCTTATCGTGCGCGCCACTGGTATTCGACGCGGTAGACCCCGCGCGAGCGCGCGCGGCACCGGGGCGTGCAGGCGAGGGCGAGGTGTGCAGCCACAGCATGAGATTTGCAGCTTCCTCGTCGTCCGCACGCGGCGTCGCCTGGTGCTGCGAGCCAGGGGCAGTAAGGTGCGTGGGGAAGCTACCACCCGATAAGCTTGCGGAGGACTGCGTGCGCATATGGGCACCCTGGGAACGGGGCGGCGTCGTAGTACGCGCATTGCCATTTGCCACAGCTGTCGAGGGCAGAGCAGCAGGTGCCGCAGTGGGCGTCGTAATGGGCGGCCCGGCACCGGTGCGCGCCGAGCTCTGCGCATACATCGAGCCCACCTCCGAAGCGCCCGAGCCAGAGGCCGAGTGCGCAGAGAGCGTCGAGCGTGGGCTAGTCGCGCCCGCGCTGCCGACGCTCGCAACGCTGGCGCTCGGACGCGCATGGAGGAGGTGTGTGAGCGTCTGCACCGCGTTCCGCTCGATCTCCGTGTCTCCCCGCTGGCCCCCGGGACCGGTCTCGCCCGGCCCCCCACGACCGGTGCCTCCACGCACACCCGCTGCGCCCATGTAGGGCGAGTGCGCGTGTGCATGGGATGCGGAGGTAGAAGCAGGGAGCGCCGCGTGCGCGGACCGCGAGTGTCCGTGGTGTCCTTGCGCGTGTGCGTGGGTGGCGCTGTTCGCGTGGGCGTGGGAAGAATGGGTCTGGCGGCTCTTGGAGGATTTGCCCGCGCGCGTCGGGCCACGGCGCTCCTCCTCGCGCCGGCTGCGCGATTGTGCGCGCGTCCCCTCAGCGATGCTGCGGACGGGCCCGTGGCCGTGTCGACGGCTATGGCCATGACCATGCCCGTGCTCGGATGCACGTGAATTCCGACGCGCCCTGTCTGTGCGCGCAGCGGGCGCTACGGGCGGATCGGACGAGTTGTGCACGGTGCGCGCCTGTTTCAGGGGCGGCGGACCGAGCAGGGCGGCGAAGAGGCTCTGCCCGCTTGTGTTTCTATTTGATGCTGTGGGCGAAGCGTGCACCCCGGAGGTGGAGGCGCGCGGGGAACGCTGGTTATGTAAGCGAGATGAGGCCGGCGGAGCCATCGCGTTGCCCCTTTGGCCCTGAGCTGAGGGCGAGGCGTAATATTGATCGCCCGCGCCCGAGGGGGCCTTGCGTTTCGCGCCGCGAGGTGTGCCCTGCGAGTGGGGAAGGGTCGCGGAGGCCGTGTTGAGTATGGATGCGTGGTTGGCGTGTGCCAGAGGCCGCGTCTTGGCCTCGAGGTCTGGGAGCTGGGCTTGCGTGATGTTGCGAGAGGCCTTGAAGCTCGCGTACGCGAGACGCGCGCGGAGGCCTCTTGCGCACTGTGGAGTGGCGGAAAGGGGGGTGGGGTGGTTAGTGAGGGGGTGGGTGGGAAGAGAGGAGATGGATTACTCACGAGAGAGAGCTCGGCACTGGCAAAGATCTTCTGGATGACTTTCTGGCGTTCGTCCGCGTCCGTGTCCATCGCGTCAAGGTCGATGGAAGGAATTGAGGGCACAGGAGACGCGGAGGGGAGAGAGTGGACGGGCATGTGGAAATGGAAGGGAAGGGGTGGTGAAGCCGAGGTTACTGACGACGTAGGGGTCGTCATTGGGCTGAGGGCGAAGGGGAGAAGGACTTGGAGTAGTATGAGCCGAGTAGAGTCGGTGTTATGAGGCGTGTCTGGACTGCCCGTAGCGCGACTTGTATGCTCGCTGGCGGTGTGCGGGCTGTGTGTGAGCGCGTCTGGGATAGCGCCTGGGGTGGATTGAGATCCGGCCTGGACCGGAGAGATATTGTGTGGGTTGAGACAATAAAGACTGGTCGCAATAATTGAGGCGTATATCGACCTGTGCGTATCTTGTCGTCTCCGTTGTGTAGGGAGGAGAGAAAGGCGCGTTGGAGAGAGCCGTGAGCGTGGCGAGGGATTGCGGTGAGCGCGTCGTCGCGCGTGCCGATTATGATTCAGCAGTATTCCCACGGTCTTAGCCACCCGCATGTGCCTGGCCAGCACCTCCTCCCAGCTCGGCTCATCCGGGACACAACTCAGCTTGATTCCATCAGTCCTTTCCCTTGTTACCGACGCTCTTCAACCATCAATATTGCTTGCTATTCATTCGACACTCTCCGAGGACTTCATTTCTCGCCATAGCATCGTCCAACGCACCCCTCTTCTCTCCTCCCCGTCGAGAATGGACGCGACCAAGACGCGCCTCATGCGCCACATCGGAAGGTCGTTCCGCCGGCCCTTGTTCTTGGCCGTCCGCAATTATAGATTACGCCCGTTTGAGTAGAGAATGACCGCATACCTGACCAGATGGACTGATAAGATAGTCCGTGACTGTCGTGACTGTCCCCGAGGCTCCGATGACCCCCGCTTGATCACCCCTCCGACGCCGGTGCATCCAATCGGTCCAATCCGCATCATCACGCGCTTCCAGGCGCTTCCTCCATATCGCCAATAATATTCAATAATATTTCCTTGATCAGGTACATCCATTGTTCCACCCTTTCCACCATCCCAATTCGCGCCCCGACAGCCCCCGACGCGTCCGTCGTATCTCTCCAGCATGACAGGCTTCGGCCCCCCGCTCCCCCTATATAACCACGAAGCACACACCAACAATGCTTCTCACGACACTTGTGGGACCTTGTGGGTCATCACTTGATAGCCACCTTCACATCACCCGGCCAGTTATGGCCTATTTGATGTGCTGATCCAAATATGCGAACGCGACTGTGATTGTCCCTCACCGCGGTCTTACTAGTTAACACACGGTCGCGCACATTCGACGCGTCGGCGCATCACGGACACGTCGCGTTCGCGTCGCACGCCATTTTGCTCTTCAGATGCGGCTCGGTTACGTTGGCTGCACTCAACCCCCCCTCTCGCCATCGCCCACCTCACTCGACGCTATTTGCTCTTACTCGCTTCTCAATCTGGCCATTACGTTCCCATTCTCACCGGGTGTCTCCTCGCTTCAGCGCCACAATACTCCAGTCCTCACACGACAAACCTAACTCAGCACCGCGTCCCGTGATGATTAACTTTGGCCTTCCGGAACGACTGCTCATATGATCCTGTACCCCCTTACACTCTAGCCTTGCGGAAGGAGCCAACGCGCAGTCCTCGTCCCTTGACCTCAGGACCTTTGGGACCTCCTTGGTTATCGACGCACCGCCCGCCACTCTCATTGGGCTGGAACTTCCGCTTTCAGCGGTGATTGACTGCTCTTCTGCGTCAACGCCCGCGTCACATACGTTCTCAAGGCGCTCACACTGCAATCTGGGCTCTCGGAGAACTCGCGCTTCTATCCTCGCCTCGCAGCGTGTTTCGTGTATGAAATCACGTCTGATAATGTATGACGTCTGCGAGGGCCTTCTCGGTTTCGATCGGTTTCGCTTGCCATCGAAGTCGAACCCAGTCGAACTGAACCAGGGCTGACCACCCAAGATCTGCCTCCGAAGGTACTCCTGCCCGATCAGTACATTCGCGCGTTTCATTGGTCTTGGCTGGCTGCGAGTTGCAGGTGTCACTCCACCGTTTCCGTCGACTTACGAAGAGAGAGAATGTACGAACATTTTGCAACAATACCAGCCTAGGCCTTTAGGGGCACTAAATCTCTGGTATCGTGTTCGCCCTCCTTGCTGTGTACACCCAGTCTAAACGCATGACGCTCTATTGCAATCACGATGCAGATCAAAAGCTGTGAAACATATCTTGCGCTTTGTGAGCTCGCTAATGTACAACGTCCACATCAATAGACAATTTATCCTTCTAATCAAAAACGGCGTCTCCCGACATGCCCGTCCGCCTCCATCCCTGCCTACCAATTTTCACGCTGTAAGGTTCTAACCCCTATAGTCTCCCCTGCTCAAACACCCCAATCGCCACCCGCCCCGTGCGCATGCGCTGCTCGAGCACAATCGCACTCATGACAACCTCGTCCCGGATCGCCTCCGCACACGCGCGCAGCACGAGCCCGAGGCTGCTCGTGTCCGTCTGCGGCACGAGCCACGCGACAGGCCGCGCGAGGTCGAGGTCGGGCGCGAGGTACGCCGCGTGCCGGTGTGGCGCGCCGTCCTCCTCCGAGCGCCAAACGAGCGCGCCGTGTGGGGTGTCGACGACGTGTACTTTGCTGTGCGGGGTTCGCGGTTAGTCTTCTGATGTGGCGAGGTAGGCACGGGGATGGGGCTGGCGGCCAATGGTATGGTAAAAACATATGTGCTCACTTTCCCTCCGACGTCTCCGTCTTCCACAGCCACTTGCTCGCTGGCATCTCGTGTCCCACCACCTCCCCCGTCTCACCGTCCGGTGTCTCCCCGCCCCCGTACACATGCTCGCTCTTGCTGCGCCTTCCCATCCATGTGATCGTCTCCTCTTTCACCATCCCCTTCCCAAGGCTCATACGCTTCCCGATACTCCCCTTGAGGCTCCCGCCCCGCATGAACCCCGCCCGCGTCAGCACAGCGACAGAGTTCCCCCGCGCATCGAGCAGCTCCGTGCGCTTGCCGGACTTCGCGTCCGTGGTGACCGTGTATTTCACCTCGCGCCCGCGCGCAGGCGCTGAGGGTGTGGTCGGGGTGACGGGTGAGGTTGGCGAGGTCGGAGAGGACGGGAAGACCGGAGAGGTTGGCGACATAGGCGTGGAGGCGATGGTGGAAGCGTCGAAGGAGGAAGAAGAGGACGAGGAGGAAGGGACGTAGATGGTGGTATTGCGCACGCTGTTGCGCGTGAAGTAGTATTTCACGGGCGGGCGCGCGGCGACGAGGGTCTCTTCGGACTGCATAGTCACTGCTGTCTGTTCGGGTTTGGTTCGAGTGCTGTTGGTGTTGGTGTCGCTGTTGCTGCTGTTGCGGATTCGACGTCACCGACGCTTAACGTAACAATGATTAGAGGTAGCAGATTTGAGATGCGAGGTGTAGAGACACAAACTTAAGGTGATGCAACCCAAGACGAAGAGCTCAAGCTCAAGAGCACGAGCGAATGCAGCGGGGTGAGCTGATGGAGATGGAGATGGAGATGGGGGAGGAAAGAAAAGCACTATGTGCGCCTGTTTATCCCGGGGACTTGTCGTTAATACACGACAGTTCCAATATCTGCGCAGCTCATCAACGAGCCTGACCCCAATCAGGGCCGACAAACGTGGAATGAGGGACGAGTGAACTCCAGGCTGACAAGGGAAATGGCATTATGGGACCGTCCGAAGCAGATGCGACGTCAGGAATAGCTATCGGTGTCCATATTAATGGGACGCGGCTTCGATAGCATCTGATTCTGATCCACAGCGAGGGGATTCCTGAGGGGATTCCCTGATAACACTCCAGTCTTAGGTTGAGACGGGGGAGGACGCCTGATCTTCGGAGAGCACCTGGGACCATATGACACACCGTCACAGCTGCTCGTCTCGTCTGTCAGTCTGCTAGGCAACCGTTGAAACGACCAGCGCTGAAACATTGGAGATGAATGCTTTGTCTCCATAGCCACTTGAGCGCGACGCGGCGAGGGTCGCGTCACGGCGTGTTCCAGCCCATGTCGCAGTCTGTCGCAGTGTCACTGTTATGTCAAACGCATATCTCGTTATGTAATAAACGTAACGACGCATATGCCAAGACGCCTTCTCGGTGCCTGCCAGTGACGGTGATAGCGCGGGCGGAGATGCCCGCACATGGCGCGGGAGGGCTACCCCAGCCCCCAGGTCCCTAGACGCCCGTAATGGCCAAAGGGGATGCCAGGTTGGGCAGATTGGGACAGAAAAGGCTTTTGGCGAGAGAATTGTTGTGCGCGATCGAGGCCTTGTCTTGTATCTCTGTTGTTTTATCACCAGTCGTCCTATGTACTGTACGTTAGCTTTTGTATAGCCAGAACGCAAACCGCACTGAAGTGAGCCAACATAAGCTATCGTGCAGCTCAATCGCTAGTATACAGCTTTGCAACGCAGCTACGGCCGTCACAGATTCGAAGGCGAATACAACCGACTCCGAAATATACAGTAAACCCTGTTACTTACAGTAGCAAAATTATAAAGTTATACGGTGCATCTTGCTTCCGAACCTGATTGGGGCGGAAAAGGAACAACGAAGCGACGGAGGGAGGAAGCCTAGTATGGATTAAAAGGACGTAGCTCAATGTCGAGACTCGTGTGTGGAAGCTGCTAAAAGAAATAGTAAGATCGCATCACACTGCTGTCGCTTGAGTCCAGCGATTGTTAGGAGTTCGAAAGGGAAACGTCACGCCTACTAGTGCTATTCTGGCTCGTTCCAGTTCGTACGACAGAGCACCCAATGTGAAAGATGTGATAACTATTCAATGGCATCAAGTGGTCCTCGAGAACTGAGTGAAGATCCATCAATGCATCAGGATCGATGCATCACTCGTTGACGTTACTTCGGGAAGTGATCGAGGGGGAGGATCCACGGACCACAATTCAGCTGCGCGATGTGCTGTGTAAGTCCTCGTTGCTTTCTTCGCTCAGCGGGGATCCTGCCAAAAAAAAACGTTAGTTACCCGGCGGCATGTACACAAGGTTTGGAGGCACGATCGAGGGGGACATGAACGCCCACTTGAATTGCACGGTGTGTTGTCGGGTCCCTTCGTTGTTAGCTTTTTCAGTAAAATTTCCGAGGTTGCCGGTTCAATCGGGGAGAAAGACGCTGTGTAGAGTTTGCGGCGTATGGCTCTCAGACACGTCTACCATGGGTTTGGCTCAAAGCCTGAGATCATTGTGCAAGTGTTTCTGTCAGGAGCAGAGAAATACTGCTCCTATATTCGCAGACGTCGAGCGCGGTTCCGGGAACCCGACGGAAGAACGTCGCCTCAGCGCGAAGCTACAGTCATCAGGCTCAGAAGAGTGGATGAGAATACTCCATCCCGATGCTGGGAAAGCATCTCGTCGAGTTGGGGGCACTGCCCTCATCCTCCACTGCATAGATTTGCGCCATAGCTTCCACGAACGCCGGCGGCCCACCGAATCCACCAGTTCCACCGAAATTCCAGCCGCCGGCGATGGAGAAGTGGTGCCTTTGGTGTGTGTAGCTACAGCCCCATTTCGACCTTAGTAGGATTTGAGCTTGGTAGCCAAACTGGTGGATAAGGCCAGTGAATTGATAGTGTCAAGATGATCGCCATTCGCAGTCGCATGGGGTCTGCCGGCGAGCTCGAGATGGAAGGTGGAAGACGACGTGGAGCTTGCTGGAAGCATTTGATGATCATGCGATTTGATACTTTGATGAACAAGTGGCCATGCCGCACCACAGGTACCGCGGCATCTGTATCATTCTCACGCGTGATTTAGTGCGGGAGAGCAAGGCGTCAAATCGACGTCGTCCCGGCGCCCGCCTGCGCCCTCCTGCGCCCGCTGCTTGTCTGACACTCCTGCGAAGTCTCCTAACCTTTCGCCGAGGGGTTGTTGGGGGACACTTTCGCTTGCGTTGCAACTCATTAAAAGGGTTGTTGGCGGTTGATAACAGTCGTGTGCTCGAGTTGCGTCTTTGAACACCTCTGCTAAAGTCCGAGGCGATCCTGTGCCTTCCAGTGCTCTCGATCATCGCACACGCCTCGCGCGCGTTTTATGGCTTAAAGTTTTGCCGCCGGTCAACATTTTTAGCATTTCTTACTGCCTCTTGATGCCCTGAGGCGTCACCAACCCTCATCCAGACGTTACCTTAACCACAGGCAACCATGCAGTAGGGCATAACCACACTCCCTGCTCTCTGACAGTGGCGGAGTAGTCGTTATTGACAGGGCAACGGCAGTCACGACATTCGGACGTCTCGGAATTGACGGATCAACAGCGTCAGCCGACCATCCAGCGGTCATTCTCAGGCACAACAAGGGGCCATTTTGTCCTGCACTGACGCTTGGTTTTCTTCTCTCGCCTGTCACTCTCCTTCATTTCCCTGATTCACATCCCCATTTCACTTGTCTTCCGCTCCGGAATACCGGCCACAACCCTCGGAAGTACTGTGACCCTCCGGATCCGTTCTCATACTTAAAAGCCTCATACCGTGCCTGGCTGCTCGACTCTCCCCGTCTCCCTTGCCCCTACCGACCGAGAAGTTCTTCTCCGTCTCCACATCCTTCCCCACCGACGCCTCCCATTCTTCGGAGCCGACCATGTCTCAGCCGTCCCAAGAAACACTGATCAACCGCCCACCACCAAAGAAGTACTACTTCTCCATGAACAGCATGCGCAGCACCACCCTCTTCCAGGGCTCGCGCTCTAATATCGTCTACACCGTCCGCACGGACACCAAGACCGGCAAGCGCACCGAGCTCTGCAATGGCCAGGGCAATGTCATCGCCGTGTGGACGCGCAGGGACATCCTCCCCGACACCATCTCGTGGCCACAGCGCGAAGGGATGCCGTCGATGACGGTGAACAAGTGGCTATGGAAGACACAGCTACCAGACAAAGCGTGAGTGTTCCTGAGCGTCCCATCACTTCAAGAGACCTTTACTGAACCTCCGCGCCACTATCCGCTAGTCAGGTACATGCCGTTGAGTCGCCGCACGGCAAGCTTGTATGGCGGACAGAAACGACGGGCCACAGGCACGCAGTATGTCCTAGACCCTTTTAGACCTTCATTTCCACTGACAATGCCTCGCTCTTGTTCTCCCCTGGCAGGTGTACCTCTCTCCGCGTCTGAGTCGGCCCATCGCCTACTTCACGCCGAAAACGGAAGCGACGAGCCTGGCGCTCGTGCTCGACTCGTCGGCCGAGCCCACGCGGGACGACATCGTTCTCTCTGCGCTCATCCTCGAGCACCGTCTGCGTACGGCGTACAATGCAATAAGCGCTGTCGGTGCCCAGAGCAGTCATAGCAAGTCGCAGTGCTCGCATTCGCGCAGACAGTCGCGCTCAGATCCAGAACGTACACGACTGATACAGACGCATTAGGGCGTTCTTCGATACGTGAGTTACCACCAGACCTTTTGGCATTGGCGAGTTTGAAGGCTAACTTTAGTCCCAGGTATACCCTCTTGTTCTGTGCGAACCACAGGCAGCATTCTCGAGACGCCCCTTACGCCATCCATCTTTCATCGCTCAACTCTTATCATCTCATCTCATCAATCATCACTGTCAACGCTCTGAGCTTCGCAAAAAAAGTGCACTGTACATGGCACATACACACGGACTTCTGGGATACCTTACCTTGCATCTTTGCTCACTCACACAATTCATCATACGCATCGGGTTACTCGCAATCGGGATTCATCACGCACGTTCATTCACGACTTCACTAGCACAAGCATACCCTAATGAAATATACACTCATTTATTTTTACTCCGTATCTTACAAATTGGACGCGGCAGCGTTTGTGTTCCCCCAGACTATGACGATGTCGGCGCGTACAGTCCCTTTCCGAAGACGCGGTTACAATCGGGATCGAGTGGCTTTCCCTAAGGAATCTGACGGAGGGGATGGTATGGCAGTGCTGCTTAGTAAGCTACAGCAGCCGCGATACACGGGCCGGTCGTCCCTGAGATCAAAGTTTGATCTCGAGGATCGTTGACAAGTTCTCGTCGAAAGGAAACATGTTATGTCATGGTTACAGCCTCGCGTCATCATTCACATGTGCTCGCCGATCTCATTTCGAACAGGAGCCAGCTTGTATGGAACGGTTGGCGCGTAGATTCAAATGCACTGCCCAAGTGACATTGCATTCTGTGGGGCCGGAGCACACGAGCGCGCATCACTGGCAAGAGCCACAACCTTTGCCAAGGTTTCTCGTTCTCAGTAAACGAGATGATGACATAACCCTGACAACTGACAAGGATTTACGACCTGATGCACCCTTTCACTCCTTGATGCTCGTCCCTTTTCGCGCTTGCCTTGATGCCTTTACGAAACACCCATCATATCGAGTTGTCGACGTATAATCGCGATCAAACCTTCGACCCAGACTCGCTCGATGACCAGCCTTTGCCGACTCAGAGTCTCTCTAACAAGGCGCAGCTGCAACCCAACTACCGGGACAATGGGAAGTGGTTTGATGCTCCAACCAACGATGAGAGTAGAACAGAACATCGTGAGTGGCATTCAGTGCTCAGTGCTAGCTGTATGCATGGGTTCTCAGGCTACCGTCACTGGATGCAGGGCGATTGCTGTCAAATGGTTTCGGGAGCCTGCAGAAAAGCTCGTGGTTTGGATTGTCGACCAAGACGATGCACCGACTGTCCCACTTCCTGCACGTTTTCCTCGCACTCCTCCATTTCGTCCTCCTCGGCATCTTTGCACGTCATCTAGAGCATAGGACGATACTCCCGATAACGGACTCCAACGACATGCTCACGACGGTGCTAAGCGCGTCTTTGCAAGCGTTCTACACGGTATGTTCTCCGTCGCCAGTTCTTTGGTCCCTCCCATAGCATCTGATCCGAATACCACGGACGCTCGCCCCACGTTCTCCCCGTGCAGATCTACACCGCCATCCTGGTCACCATAACCCAGCGCCTCGGCGTCCTGCGCAGCCTCGAGCGCAAGCAGAAGCTCACGGCGCTACACGACTCCTCGAATGCCTGGACGGGCATCGGGTCTTCCCTCCTCGGGCTATGGCACCAGGCTCGCCTGCCCGCGTCCGCGGCGGGGACGACGTTCGCCATATGCATCACACTCTACCTCGGGTGCGTGATGGTGCTGCATGTGGCGTCGTCAACGGTCATGCAACTGCAGACGTTCAACAACACGATCGTGGGGCCCGTCGCGACGAGTGTGGCGTGGCCGAACGCGAGCGTGGATCTGCTGCAAGGGGGAGGGATGGACTGGACGAATGTGGATTACTCGTGGGCCGCTGTGAGGACGATGTCGTTCAATATGGACGGACTGGCTGGGTCGACGGTGTATGACACGGTTCCGGATGATGCGGGTGTGGGGAGTGCGACGGTCGATGCGACGACGGTTGGGTTCCGGTGCGGGCTTATCCCGAACTCGAACCTGTCGACGACAGCGAATGGGATCAAGTACCTAATTGACCCTGACCTTAGCAATGTGCCGTTCCAAGCATCTGCGTTGTGTGCGCTGTTTCTCCGTACAGCTTCAAATACGCCCCTCTCACCTATACCGGCTTTCAGATCCGGACCAGGTCCACTTCCTCGACACGATCTCAGGAATGGTCTCCAGCTGCCAAGATGGATGCGTTCGTCTCCCGCTTACCGCCAGAATCTGTGCGCCCATCTCACATTCGTATCCAGGTCAACGTGTCTTCTGCGCCTCCAGTATGGCCAGGAGTTTACAACGTCTTCATGATCAGCTCCAAGCTCGCATCGCTCGCCGATGACAGTGCGTTCGTGAACCACATGAATTGGATGTACCAAGAACGCGTTGGGTCCCCCGCGAACGCGTCAATTGCAACGTACTTTGTAGGGTGCTCAATGTACCTCAACAGCTCTAAAGCCGATATCTCGGCGCATGATAACAATCTTCAGTCGACACCCCCGACGTCGTATACCAACCAGTGGCAGGACATCGCAACGTTGCCCTCGGCGAATATCTCATCGGGCTGGGTGAGTTCAGACCGTTATCTGCATCTCTGCTGAACATGAGTCTGATTGAGGCCTGAACGTTTCTTCAGGTCTTTAATGCGCTCCGCAACTCGCCTTCCTCGACCCTGACCACCCAGCAACTGAACTTTGGGTCCCAGAACTCAGACGAGACGAGCTACACCCTCTCGCTACTAGATCTGTGAGTTCTCTTTGTTTCTACTAGCGGCATGCAAAGGAGTGCTGATGACTGACTTGTAGAAACCTGATGAAGCAGTTAGGCGTGACTGCCCAGTCAACCACAGGACAGGAGAAGCCGCCCGATCCGTCGTTTGAGCTCAGTCCTCGCCAGCTAGAGAGCGCGCTATCAAACTTGGCTGCTGGGCTGATGTGGACTGGTCCGTTCCTTCACTTTTTTTTCATCTAGTACGTTGAACTGACGGCGAATCTGACACGCGTTCTCTGTACTTTAGCGGGACAGGTCAATGAAGGCGGGTTTCAGCGGGCCGTCGGCGAAACGCTGGTCACTCAGCAGGTGCTGATGTGGCGACTCAACGTAAGTCCATCATCTTCTGTTGTCATATAGAGTGATGTTGAGCTAACTCGGCGTGATCTGCAGATCAACCTCGCACCAGTAAGCACCACAATACAAGCACGAGCATTCACGGTTAACTGATATCGTCGATATAAACTAGCTCCTATTTGCTCTGTTCGCCTCCCTCATTATGCTCGGCGTTGAGATCTTCATCACAGGGTTCAGCACTCCAACTTCGGCCGTCGACTCGACGGGCATACTCGAGATACTCTGGCTGTCAGATCGGCTGCCTCCGCTGCGGGAAGGCGTGCGTAACGTCAGCGAGCCGACGACGGATAATCTCCGCGCTGCTGGTATGGTTGACGTTTGTATAGCAGATGAGATTCGCAAAGAGGAAAGCGAGCTCAGGAGGAGAGTATGATGGAGTGAAGTGTTGGGATGTATCTTTACAAGCAGACGTAAAGTATCCATGATCGATGGACTTAACACATGACCAAGCGGGAACATACAGAACAGGTGAGACGAAATCCTTCACCCAAGTCAAGCTCCACAAATCTCGGTCTGGCCAAAGTCTGACCATAAGCATTTCTATCATATTAACGTGAACATCACCATGGCTACAATCATATACAGGTTTTCATACCTGAGCCATCATTACGTTGGATTAAAAGCTCTCGGAAAAGGGTAACGTTGAAATTTATGCAAAGAGGATAGCCAATTCAAGTCAACTTGTCGCTATCGCCATCAGGTCATTATTAATCTGTTCTTACTGGTTTCTGAAAGCTCTTCCTCCAGGCATACTTTGTGCATCCCAGCAGCTCTGAGCGCATCCGACGTTGGCATGTCGATATCCATCATATGGTCCGACAGGGACGGGAGCTTGGCTGTTAGCCATAGTACATCAAGGATACCCGTCCCCCGGAGTACCGTGTCCTTTTTTCCTTTGAAACCCGTGATTGCCAGCTCAGCCGCAAGCATGACTATAGACGCAACGGTCACTGCAGTAAGCTTGGGTAACCAATTACTACTCAGTACAAAGGTGCATGTTGCCAAAACTGATGCTACTTACTGATGTTATATTGATCTTCGCACACAAGGGCAGAAATCAGTCGCGATATCCTCAAAGGACAGCGTTTTGAGAAGCTCACATTGAGCCTCCATCCTAAAGCGTTTTCAACGCACCATGTTTCGCCTGACTCCCGAGTAAATCCTTTTGATCCACTCTGTCCCGCTATAATAAAAATTTCAGACCAAAAGCAAATATCTCGAAGAGACAGGTACATACCAATCCATACCATCCCGGCAACCATATGTGACAGTGCGCTCTCCAAAGCCGATACGGTAAGATTGATGGATGGCGGATTTTGCTGTTCTCCAAACAAAGCAACCTCCGATGTGTTGTTGTACTGGTTAGCTGAGCCGATGGCTTGTGTCAAGTACCTTTTGTGTTCAGTGTGTCAATAGCTAATAATATACAGATAGTAAGATAAGTTTCACGAACGAATCTAGGTCCCCAATGTTATACGAGCCTCCACCCCCTCCACATGCACCGACCCATGTAGAAGATTGTGGTGCATTTAGCAAACTCGTTGGTAGCTAATAGAAACGGTGAGTGTGTCTATGATAGGACAGCCTATATACCTCCTCACCCATTCCGCAGATGTATTAGCTGCTTTGAAAGGAAATGGTGCCCAGTCTTTAGCGATAGCATCACTGGGAGATAATGGCCATGATACAAGTGTGTTGGTGGTTACATCAACTTCCGCTTTGGATGTCTGAATGGACATGGCACATTCGGCAAAGTAAACCGTTATGTTCTGAATTTGAGGTTTGTTCTTGGAATCATAATATGTCCAGTTCAAATATACTCCATATTCTTCAACGAGCGATTCATTGTTTGTTTCGATATTGGTCGACAACATATATAGTGCGTCACGCTGGACAAAAATAAAATAAGAAGTAAACTCTGAGAGTAAAAAATAACGAAGGCTGACCATCCCAGTGCTGTTTGTTATGTCAATTTGGAACAGTAATGAGTCCACCACTTTGGCGTCATTTGGATCCATAAATGAATGTTAAGAAACAAAACAGACAGAGGCCAACTTACACGGTGCGGGTGGATACGAGATGTTCTGAGCTCCAGGTGCAAACCCGTGATAACTGATGAGACCACATTCAAAACTCACTGTCGTAGCGTTTACGGTAGCATATCCGAGCCCTCCATTTGGTTGCGCTACGACATCATAAACTGTAGCGTTTGCAAGGCCAGGTGTAGAAAACGCAAGTTGAGGTAGTGATATAGATCCGACGTTGTTGTTGATAAGGTCAGGCATGACCGAGCCGATTGTATACCAGTCATCAGGAGATAGGTTGTTCAGAGTCGATGCATCTGGATAGCCTTGATTAGTGGTAACCGTGATGTTCTGATTAAATGACTGGAGTTGAAAGACTGTCGACGATGATATGTGAAGGGCCATAACACAAAGAAGATAGAGGAAAATCAAAGACATTTTTGCTGGCGCAGCTCGAAGATTTCTCTGGTTCCATAAGCCAAAAAACGCCGGACCAAGTCCACTCCACGCATTTGAAATATCGTGCAGAGCTGTGAGTCTTTGCGTCTTGTGTAGGCTCCCTAGAACTGCCAACCGTTGGGTGAGAGTGACCAGACATGTACCATATAACTTATAAGGGCGTCTCTGTCAGTAGGACGCTGATAAAAGAGATAACATATGCACATACAGTGTAGAATGTTTGCACACATGCACTGAGTACAGTTGATGCTGTGTTGTGCTGGGATGCATCCGGAAGTATCAAACGCCTTTCAAAGTGTCGACCAAAAATCCCCAACAATATTATGTGGAGAGCAAGGAGGAGAAGGTGTAAAGTATGTGAGAGGCGGTGTAATCCGACAAGAGATAGCCCAAAAAAGTACTTCCTGCGTAAGCAATGCGAGCAACAGGAAGCACCTGATACGATGAGATAAACGTATGGACTTCGCCGTCGAGAGGATAACACATACTTTTTGCGCAACCCACCTCCTCGTTATCACGTCTGTTAGGAACAAGAGTGGAGTAATCTAAAACAAGATTCAGAACTGAGGATAAAAACCCAAAAAAAATACAGCCTAGAATACCTTGTGCTTGATATTTATTTCCAGAACCTGGAATGGTGAAGCGACTTGAATCACTCGTAGAATCATCGTTGAATTGACTGCTTTGAAAGTGAGTTGAAGGAGACATGTCGTTGGGTTATAACCGTCTACTTCGAACTGCTCTTGACGTTATATAGTTGAACTAGTGGGCTGCAGTAGCTTGCTGTGCATGATTCACAGATCTTTTGATGGCCCAAACGTTTGAAATCCTGTATGAGAGTTTGATTGTGCCTGCTCATCCTCTAACCACTCACAGTTATCCATTCCACGATGATGAAGGGCTAGATACATAGACATCGGTTTCCATCCCGGCTTGCATCATCTTTGTAAGGAGCGTTGGGCAGATTACCTTCCAAATTTGGCATTTTGAGCAAAACATTTTAAATGCTTTTGACATGTTTTCCCTGGAAACATTGACTAATGCCCCCAGTGCTTCCTGTTCAGCCATGGCACTCTGCCTTTGATCCCCTTCGAACTCGTATTGCATAGTCTGCCCGTTCAACAGCAGGCTACCCTACATCTTCTAGTAGTTTAACCTGATCCAGTCTATTTAATCATTAAATTATCTGATATCCACACGTTCGTCCCCTTCTGTCCCACACAAGCCAATCCAAAGTCGAAATAACCCCAAACCTTGAAAGTGTTTTGGTCAATCACGAAAATGCTGTTAATTACCGGGATCTACTTGCAGGAACAGATCTTGTTAGTCGACACAGCAGCAGCAACGAAACATGTTGGCATTGGTACCCTTGACTCGAACTTTGTTAGGTGCTGTGCCACAATGATATCTTATCCGGACGAGTCAGCTATGAGCCTGTGCAGAGCCTTTAATGCAGACATTATCACCCAATTTGCAACAATCTGACATCCCTCCATAAAAGAAAGCCAGCTAACACTAGAAATCGCATTTAAATGTGTGAAAGTTAAGTCTGAGATGTCTACAAACCATAGGCGACTCGTACTTAGCATATACTCCATGGTCGTACAGGCCTGGGCAATTAATATATGCACCAGCCTCAAATGACTAGCTGATGACCTGCCAATTAGACATCACCATGGCTATCCGTATATTTTTGGACAAACTAGACGCTCACCAAGGATAGATGTTATAGGTTCATGGTACCCCAACCCCAACAGGGATCATCCAAACGATATCTACATCAGCACCTATCCGCTTGATTGAGTCCCCTTCCTCAGCATCCCCCATAGAAACAGTAGCTCCACCGCATTAGATGGACGACCTTCAATATCAAGGCTGGTGCTCTACTTCCCCGGTAAAGTTTGATTCACTGCGAGTGGTAACGATTTAGAACATCGCGTCTTTGTATCACCAAATCTCATGCTTTTACAAAACGCTCACAATTACATGCACTGCCCCGCCTATTTATTTCTTCCCTTGGCCTTACGGTAGTAGTTCAGTGACCCCGATTGATGTCACAATCAAGAATATGTATAGACCGCGGCTACGGACAATATATACTCATCATTCACAGGCGACCAGTGTTCTCTACTCAACTCCCTTAGGCCACGCAGTCTTAAGGCCGAGCTAAGGAAACTCGGGAAAACCCATAAGTTAACGCCGCCTGCAGCTACAGGTCAAGCAGACCCTCGAGTGGCAGAGCTTTGGCAGTCTCCCAACCTGTGTAAGATCTTTGGTGTGGCTACGCATAGATTACCGCATGTTTATCGCACGTTTACCTCGAGGTTAGGCTTTCGAGAACTTAAATACTGACATGTTCGTAGATATTCCCTAGCTATCGATTGGCGCTCGCTTCTCCCTCTTCGGTGGTGACGTTTGATCCTGTTTGAGCTAGTACGATCACATGTCGTAGCCCTCACCGACCTCGATACTTACACAAGTACGAAGATACTCGCGGAGGTAAAATATCCTGTTACCTGTGTCCCAGATCGTCTAGCTCTCAATCAACTATACAGCACCAAGCAAGACGTACATCGAGAATGTCGCGCACGAAGAGCTCGATAATATGAAATAGACGGCTTGTGTGAATTACGTATCGCATCGATGGCCGGGACAGAGGCTGTCGAAGCTAAGGGAGATAAATTCTTATACTTGGAAGATCAAATTGCTCTATAGTGCGTTTGTTATTCTTTGACAGCTGCGCTGTCACTCGCGTCATTACTTGACCCTCGTATCTTCTCTTCTTCATGTTTATCTACAGGTAAGGGCGAGTTCACCATCCTGCATTGCACTTGACCTGCCGTTCTAGGGTATCTTCTGCCCCATTCCACGTGCCATTCCGAGAATATATTGGCGGATCTGCCTGGACCTTGCGTCCTATCAATATTCAGAATGTTCTAAAATCCCATAGAATGGCTGTAAACCAATTTTTAGGAGGAATGAAACAGTGTAAATATTTCTACAACGCTATATCACCACAGGGCTGTTATATCACCCTGTTCAATCCATGGTCACCTTCGTACATACATCAACTCGGGGTCTTTTATCCCGTAGTCCCAGCAATTCAACTCCTCACCTTTTGTAATGTTAGAATTTCTCTGCAGGTAGACGTACAGGAAACCTCGTGGGTGCGAGCTCGGGGAATGCAACAATCCTGCGGAAAGTGGACGGTATAATATCGACAAGAACATCAGACCAGGTTTGCGGTTGGTTTGCGGTCCATACTTCCGTATTCGCGCAGCTTTGTGGGGGTAACAGCGACCAATTTGGTGCTATCGTATTCGCCCGCCGCGATCAAGGACAAGGACATGTTTGAGATCTGGAGAACCCGAGACTTAATAGAAACCCTGGACCTCTACGTATAATATAGCGTCATCCACTACAGTATTATTACAAGCTGGTAGCTTGCGCTGCATAGATTTCTTCCAACTAAACCTCTTCAGAACGACTACGAATAGATGTCAGACTCCGTTTTGGCAGCACCATCCCAGGCATCATACTAAGTATATACCACATACATACACGATCACGATCTATCGCAAATTTGGTTCAAAGAACATCTACATCAGCGCCTATCTGCTCGATACGACTGCTCGAGTCTCCCTTTTTGCCATCTTCATCAGCGCCTGGTAACTCCCCCTGTTCAGATTCAGCCTTAATCTCCGCCATAGGCGATGCCCTCTTGGCACCTAGGAACATTCTTCCCCCGGGCGAATCCTGCACCGACCGTAAAATGACATCTTTCTCGAATAGGTACTTGATGTCCTCGAGTGCATACCCCGTCGTTTCGGGCAGGCATACGTACGTCCAAATCGACATGACGATACAGCACGCTCCAAATAGAATGAACGTGCCGTACGTGATCTGATCGAGCATAACCGGCGTCGCCCGAGAGACGACGAACACGAACAGCCAGTTGATCGCCACAGCAATCGACAACGCCGCCGTGCGCACCTTGTTGTCCACCACCTCGCTCGCGACAACCCACGGCACGGGACCCCACCCGATGCAATAGAACACGGCGTACAGGTACACCGCGACAATCGAGACGTAACTCGCGGGAACGATCGTGTCCTGCGGGTGGATCGCGCTGTATCCGCCGATCCAGAACATCGTGAGGCCCTGACCGAGTCCGCCGATGATCAGACATAGCTTGCGACCCATGCCCTCGATCCCGAGCAACGTGGTGAGCCCGACGGCGATCACCTTGATGACGCCGTACACGCCAGTCGCGAACAGAGACGAGGTCGTCCCCGAGATGCCGAGTCCTTGGAAGATCTGCGGGCTGAAATAGTTGATCGCATTCGTGCCGGTCCACTGTTGCCAGCAGAGCACGAACGAGGGGATGTATGCGCGGATGAGCATTGAGCGGGAGGAGCCCATCATGCGGAACTGCGCGAGGAGCGGAATACGTTTGCTTGTTGCGAAGTCTGCTTTGATTTCGTTTAGGGTGGCAATGACGATTGGATCGTCTGCGGGCTTGCGTGCGACGTAGGCAAGTGTCTGGGCTGCTTGGTCGTACCGCTCGTGCTCGACGAGCCAGCGGGGCGACTCGGGCTGTGGGAGCATAAGGATGGCGAAGAGGAAGCCGGTGATCAGCTGAACAGCGAAGGGCATCCGCCATTGCATGTTCCCGTAAGGCAGGTTGGCGGAGGCACTGTAGTTGACCCAGACTAGGCTAAAGATAAGCAACGGCTTGGAGATAGTAACGGAACGACACTTACAGCTCAACATCATGCCAATGTTATTCGAAAACTGGATGAAACCGGTGCAGCGTCCTCGAATGGCTTTGGGCGTGCACTCGGCGACGTAGGATGGAACGATGGCAGACATGAGTCCCAGGCCGAATCCGCCGACGAATCGTCCGAAGTAAAGCACGCTGAGTCCAACGGACGCACTACTTCCAATGCCGGATATTGTCTGTATGACGCTACCAATGAGGTAGATCACACCAGAAGTCACTAGAGGCCATTTCCTTCCCCACTGTGTCGACATAGGTCCAGAGAAGAGTGCGCCGAAGCTATGACGCTGGGTTCAACTGTTGCCTTTCGAAACCGATAAATGAAGAGCACTCACAAGCATCCCGCCTGCAACATAGCTACAATGTTCCCATTCAAATTGGCCTGAGCACTGGCTGAGAGCTGATCGACCCCGAACGCATGCTTGAACGAGTCCATGGCGATGACACCGCCTATCAAGCCCATGTCCCACCCGAAAAACATAGAGCCCATAGCAGCTGAGAGCGCGAGGATATATGCATTTCGATACCTCTTGAGCTCGGCGATCTCTTGCTTGATCTTCATGTTGCTGCAACGTCAACTTTGGGATGGCTACGAAGAGAGAGGGAGAAGAGAAGAGGCGGCTAGAGCGGGAGGCCTGGAGCAGCGCGTTGGACCCTGTTGGTGCGTGACGATCCCACACTGACTGCCGCCGACGTTCCGAGGCCAAATTTTGCAGCGTATGACATATCAGCACTCAGTACTCAGCCGGGACTGGACGGTGGGTCGGAGCTGGGGGGCATATCAGGTGTTCAATAGACTTGGAGGTCACGAGAGTTCGTATCTAAAGCAAGTCATGGTGCGGAGAGGCGGGAGAATGTTGTCGCTAGCGGCAAGACGCGCTTCGGAGTCAGAACGCCTTTTCCAACTCCCGCTCGCCCGCGCCAATGTCTACGTGTTGCAACCAGCATCAGCTAAGGCTCGATGCCTTACAACAGAATTCAGATATCTTGCCTATCCTCGCTCACCTCAAGTGTCCCAATAGCGCCCAATACACTCCTTGTTCCTGATAATCACTGGTCAACGCCCACTACCTATACGATCTCTGCCTAAAGCGGATGATGTCTTGACTCGAAGTGCTCAAGCTTCCTACCACATAGGCCTATGTGACGTTGTGTGTGGATGTTATCCAACTTCGAAGGAGAATGTTGAGTCCGTGTAATCGAAAGCACATGGATGTGTATCAGCTTGCATAATGGAGTTCGGGTTCATGCTAGGGAGTATTCGTCGAACTGAATACTGGTGAGCCGGATCTATTCATTTTAGCTAAACCAAGGCTAGGCGGGTTCAGTTTTTCGGGTCCCCCGTTTTTCCCTTCGCCATTTACGATTGGGGCTATGTCCTATGACATTTGACAGGCACCAACGCGCCCGAACGCCACGCGCCCAAAGCGTTGCATTCAGACGCTCTCTTCCCTCTCTTTTCAACCTTTCCCCCACGCCGACTTGATGGCTCAAGGCATCATTGAGACCCTCACTGCGGCTGCAAGAATCCTCTTCTCATCATTGGGGCAACAGAATACACGTCGACTTGGAACAGCAAGTCTGGCACTGTGGGTGTTGCTGCGGTATGCGTTGAGCAAGTCATCCAAGGGCAGGCTCCTCACCAGTCCCGAATCCGTCGCTCGACCAGTGGATGTTAATGGGATGGAGTTCGATGAGTGGGATTTCATCGTTGTTGGTGGAGGTGCGTGGTTTGGCCGTGGAATGCGCGCTCACCGGTCGACACTCATCGTCTCGGCGCACAGGGACTGCGGGGTGCGTTCTTGCATCTCGTTTATCTGAAAACCCAACGTTTCGCGTGCTGCTGATTGAAGATGGTGAAAGGTGAGTTTGGACTTATGCCAGCTGAACACTCGTCTTATATGCCATCTATAAAGCGGAAAGGCTTTGGTGGAGTCAAGAATGCCCTCTGCTTCGGCTGCCCTCTTCCGCTCTAAGCATGATTATGAGTTTTACACTGAACCACAAGTGCATGCGGCTGACCGCAAAGCTTTTTGGCCAAGAGGTGAGTATGCTACCTGCGGCGTCTTGATTATGCTGAACACGATATGATAGCTCGACTGCTTGGCGGATGTACGGAACTTCTAATGCCTGATAAAACCATAGATACTGATCGTACCTGCAGGCTCCTCTATCAATGCACAGATGGCACAGTACGGGGCGCACTCAGATTTCGATGAGTGGGCTCAAGTCATTGGTGATGATTCGTGGTCGTGGAAGCATTTTAGCAGGTTGGGCGCATTTTCTGTCTTTTGAGTGCTAAGAAACTCATGTTACTTCTCAGATACTTCCGTAAGTTTGAGAACTTCCAACCCGATCCAGAATACCCCCACATCGACGTCTCGCAGAGGGGAGCGGGTGGCCCTGTCACCATCGGATACAACTCGCATACTTTTCCGGGGTCTCCACTGTTCGTCAAAGCCGCAATGGCTGCCGGTATACCGTATAGTAGAGACTTTGGCGTTGAGACCGGGCTGAAAGGAACGAATATGGTACGTCCCACTCATCGTATAAACGCAAACACTAATTCGGAAATCCAGGTTTGTCAGTCGAAACACTGTTCACGACTATTTGTGAAGACTAACGTACTCATTAGTGACGTACGTCGACTCTAGATCCGAACGCGTCTCGACGGAAACCGCGTATCTCACTGACGATGTGCTCTCACGCCCCAACTTGTGCGTCCTAACGCACGCCCGTGTGACCAAAATTGTCTTCTCCAAGAATGTGAACGGTGCATCTCGTGCGACTGGGGTCGAGTTTGTGCGTACGGTAGATGGCGCAAACGGAAGGAGATGGAGAGCCAAAGCATGTAGGGAGGTCGTACTATCGTGAGTATGATGCTACCCCTTGCCGCGCGCTCTGACAAGCTTCTTCAGCGCTGGAGCTATCCACTCCCCTCAGATTCTCATGCTCTCTGGGATAGGGCCTGCAGGGCACCTCGCCCACCATCGGATTTCTCTGGTTCATGATCTCGCTGGTGTCGGCGGGAACCTTGTCGACCACACTGCGTTTTATGTGCGCTTTGCCGATAAGATGGGAATCACCATCAACTATGGCATTCCCTATGATGTGCCGTCTTTCGCCAAGCTCATGACTGCGATGGCCAGATATCAGCTTGGTGGAAAGGGTCCGATTGCCTCTAATGTAAGTCGCATTTAATAACACACGCCAGCGTTGAAGTGGATGCTCACATGGCACAGGGTGGGGAGGCTGTGGTGTTTGTGCGTTCAAACAATCCAGACCTTTTTCCTGAGAGCGAGTGGCCTGAAGCCATTGAGGATGCGAACTCGGGGCCTGAGAGTCCAGACATCGAGTTAATCCTCTACCCAGCGCCAGTGGCAAACACCAGAAACCTTACCATCAAGCAGGGACTGCACGGGTACACCATTGTTGTCGTAAACCTTAGACCCACTAGTCGTGGCTCAATACGACTGAAGAGTAGTGACCCTTTTGACTCACCGTCTATTGACCCGAAGTAAGTCGCTGTTTTACCTTTATAGGTCTCGACCTAATCGTTCTGTTGCAGTTACCTCGCTACACAGCATGATATGGACGTGAACATCCGAGGCATCCGCCTCGCATACAAGATCGCGCACACCGCTCCGCTCACGGACATGACGGACACCGACTGCAGAGATCCGATCCTTGATCACCACTTTGACAAGCTTACAAACACGGAGATTGAGAATATTGTCCGTGAGCGCATTGAGACCATATACCACCCTGCGTGCACGTGCCGCATGGCCCCGCTCGAGGAAGGTGGGGTTGTTGGCACGGACTTGAAGGTGTACGACGTCGAAGGTCTAAGAGTATGCGACGCCAGTATATTCCCGACGCTTGTTTCCGGTCATACGGTACTTCATTATGTTTATCCCTGATTCGCCTACTTATAACTCTTGGGTTCACAGGCCGGTGCGGTTATAGCATCTGCAGAGAAGCTAGCGGATCAGATCAAAGCCGAGTATAGATTTCTGAAGGCTACTTAACTCATCGGCAAAGTGTTTTTTGCCCTTGCACTCTGGCTATTGCCTCGCCTCATCGCCTCGTCGTTGACTGATGCATCGGCCTTTCTGTCTGTGAACCTTTCTTCACGCATTGTATTGTACGTACTCTAAGCTTCCTGTCCCTTTATTTAGTGTTGCGCCAGTGTATATCCCAGTTTGACCAGGCCAGGCTTCGCCGTGTGAAACGACTCCCCACGCGCAATGGTCTCCTGTCCGAAACGTCAGCTGAGAGCTAAACTCCGATTGATGCCTAGCAAGGAGCATCCATGGCACGTTCTTTCCTGTTTGCGCACTGGACGCTTGCTCCTCCATCACCATCTGACCAGCGCCACCGAAGGATGATAACAAGAAGCTGGCTCATGTCTCGACCATTGAATATAAGCTGGAGAAATGGGGCGCCTTGGCCTCTTTATCGACGTGGACGTCTCCATGGCCTCGAGTACTGCCCTTGCGATAGCCGCTGTCACCATTGCTCTCCTTGCTGCCCTTGTCCCATTCAAACGACAGAAGAAAGGTCGCCCCTCGCCTCCGGGGCCGCGCGGGCTCCCGTTCATAGGAAACACGCATCAAATTGACAGCTCAAAGCCTCAAAAGACTTTCACCAAGTGGAAATATCAATATGGTGAGTGTTATCTTATAACCATGTAGAGTCGCGCCCATTCGACCATATCTGGCTGCAGGGGATCTGGTGTATTGCCGAGTCCTGGGTATCGATACATTTGTGGTCAACTCGGAGAAGATTGCCCGAGACCTTCTCGAGAAGCGTTCACACAACTACTCTGATAAGACGATGGCTCCCCAAATTGAAATGTAGGCCGTCAAGCTCCCACTCTTCGCTTGCCTTCCACAGGATGATGATGAACATGCTCGCAGGTTGAACCTTCACCATAATACAGCCTGGGCATCCTATTCTGATACATGGCGCATGCACAGACGTATTTATCATCAAGCGCTAAGAGCAGATGTTGTGGTCAAGTATATCCCTACGCAGCTCCGCGCGGCGTATAAACTCCTGGAGAACCTCTTGTTGGATTTTAGAGGCGCTGACGGTTGGAGGAAACGTGTAGGGGCATCGGATACGGTAAGTACCATGGTCATATGTTTAGCTTAGCATCGCTGATGCATCCGTCATAGACGTTCACCACACTTCAAGCGTTCCTATATTTTATGGTCCAGTATCCTGAAGCACAGCACCGGGCCCAGGAGGCTATTGATGCTGTAGTAGGGAGAGACAGGTTCCCTAACTTTGAAGATAGACCGGCCCTCCCTATCATCGACGCGCTAATTCGTGAGACTCTGAGACGCGCTCCAGCGTTGCCAGTCGACCTGCCTCATGGTGTGACAGACGACGATATATATGAGGGTTACTTCATATCAAAAGGTTCGTTTGAACACAACATCGGCCGCACATATATATCTGACCTCATGCATCTAAGGCTCTAATATTATGGTGAACACGTGGTAAGTCTCATTTCCCTTCCATGAGAATAAATTGCAACAAACCTGGTACCCACACAGGGCCATATTACATGACGAAGTCAGATTTGTAAACCCAATGAAGTTCGATCCCGACCGCTTTCTCGACGCAAATGGTCAGCTCACGAACGACCATTCTCACTTGCTCGTCTTCGGTTTCGGAAGACGCATGTGTCCCGGCAGACATCTTGCGGATGCCTCGCTGTGGTCTGCGATGGCCTGCATGCTCGCGATGTTCGACTTTGCGAGGGCCAAGGATGCTCAAGGGCGAGAGATCAATATCGACGATGCGGAATGGAGCAATGGGCTGACGAGGTGAGTCTGCTTGTATATTCGATTCCTACACGAACTAATGTGCCCTTTTTTCACCCTCGAACAAAGTCGACCGACTAACTTCAAATGTTCAATTAGGCCGAGGTTTCCGGGCGCTTCCGAGAAAATTCGGAGAGCTCTGGAGGAGCTGGATTTGAGTGAATGAGCCGTGCTTCTACATCAACAAGGTCATTATCGAATACGACATCGCTCTTCACATGGACAATATTGCGTTGTTGAAAGTGGAATGTGTTTGAGCTACGAGTGTGCCATATACTGTATACCGGACATCATCTATCAAACCAATGCAAACTTCCGATCTTTCCCAGTGATTGGCACCGATTCTCAGCCCATGTCAACTATACACTGCGACCTCAATGAAGCTTTCCGTTGTCCTCACTACGAGGTGGATTCAGCCGAAATGAAATAAGCACATGAACAGTCCAATTCGCGTATTTCTGTTACGGGGATCCGCCCAGGGACTCTCGGGTTCATTGGGTCAGTGTATATGAACCGTGGCCGCATCGCGCTTCTCATTTTCATCTCTGAGTTACATTTTATTTTTGCGAGTCCATATCTACGCCCATCTTCCCACTTGCGGGGATGCATCGATTACGGGGCGTCTTAACTCTTGCTCCTGCGTCATACAACGCCCCATAAGCGAGATGCCTAGCACTCTGGTAAGTGAGCAGCAGCTAGATTCGACCCTACGTGTAACTGCGAGGGTAAAGAAAACTGTACGCTCATGATACGGCGTTTCTAGGACCTAGCCTCGGTATTCAGTAAATCCCGCTCACCTCGGCTGAATGGCACAGGCACAGGAACGGACGAGCATCGCGCTGCAAGACTTCACAAGAAACCGTCTACGACGATTCGGTACCAGAGTGTTGCTCCAGCTAGTTACGAGCCGCCTCAGTTCGACAGGATCGCTCATCTGGCGGCTCTATCGAGGGCTGCGACCCAAGACCGGTTGAACGAGCAAGTGGTGCAGCCGCGCTCGCCGAGGCTCAACGTGACGGTGGATGTTCCATCCATACCGCGTGCTTACGCGCGCGCGACGGTCACGTCGTTCTCTTCAACGAGTACCGTCGGAAAACCGCCTGTAATACCTGTGATACCCGTCATACCCAGGAGGACGGCGTCGGGTACGACTCGAAGAGAGCCACTGATATTCGCGAATCCACGGCCAGCGCCAACGCGGGATGCTGTGTTGCCCCTGGTGACCACCATGGAAGTACCACAGCCGTCCCGTCCCCAGCTCGCCCCTACTCGTTCGGTCTCGTCATCGTCTAAGAAGCTTCAAAAGAAGAGTACTGGTACCTTTTTCTCGGCGAAGGGGAAAAGACGGCTTCAGGAGTTGATATGGAAATCGCCCAAACCTGAAAACCAAGCTTTGCCACGGCGAGGTCAAGGCGAGAACGAGCGGGGTGAGTCGTCTTCGCCGTGGTTTTCTGACGAAGATGTCAAAGTAGCGATGGATAAGCTGCATAATGTAAGTAATCGTTCGCTGTTGAGGGAATTGTAAGTGACGAACATGATGCGCCACGTCTCAGCCAGCCGCGATCATCAAACCGTCAGACGCGCTCGAGCTGTCCCCTCGAAACGTTTACCTCCGCCTTACTTCTTGCGACGCCCTGCGTATCCTCCAGCCCCTGTACCCGCCAGCATTCCTTGCCACCACCGTCCGACGCAAAGTGATACGAGCGGCATTTGGCGGTTCTTTCGGAATCTTCCCTGAGATATTACCGAAGTCAGAAGCCCTCCGCGGCTTCGGAAACTTTGCATTCCTTTCGTTAGAAGCGCAACGACATGCGCCACAGCTACCCGGGGCTCCGGGATTGTTCTTTGACGTGGATGGAACAAAGATGCCGTACGAGGTGGAGTGCAGAGTTATGGTGCGCACGAGTCCGGACAAGTGGCTGTACGTCGGGCAGTATACATTCGTGAGAACGGGCACTATGAGTGGCGAGGAGTGGAATGCGCAGAATTCGGTGGTCAGTATTCCAGAGTCTTGAATGGATTTGCTATTTAACGCGTGTTTGCTTTTGGACGCAGGCGCGCCTTTCGTGGGCCCGCGAGATCTCGGAGGGGAAGAAACGATACCGCGTCATTCGTGCGCGCATAAAGCTCCGTTACGAGTTCGGACGAGAACCGACTGCGGGAGAGGTGCGCGCCAAAGAAGACGAAGACAGAGAAGACCCGATCGAAGTCAAGGTGCGGGATGCCTTGCGAGACTTGGGTGAAGGGAAGGAGGTGAGCCGCGCCTTCTGAAGTTTGTTGATGAATCTGAGTAATGGAATGCGCGATAGACCATGCACATTTGGGCGATGAAATGCGTCGGGTATGACTACGCGTTCCAGAAGAGACTCGTGAAGCTGGCTGGCGAGCAGAAGGCGTAGTCCTTGACCTAGTACTCGGGAGGGCGTGTGTAGTTGAATCTCATCGTGGCATTGCGCAGAATTGCAGTACTAGTGCTCTTGCCAGTGCGCCGGCTGTGACAAACCAACCGAGGCCTCCAATTCCATCACGGAAGCGGGGAACGAAAGGCGTGTGAAGATGTGAAGAGACACAATTAGGGGTGATAAGATAACACCTGCCCTAAATCCACTGAAACGGTATATATAGACACTCCCCTCCATCTTCGTTCCTTGGGTTGGGATCCCCCGGTGGTCAGGTACGTTTCCTCGTTGTTTCTCCCATCCCTATGGTCTGACCGTCCGTGCTATAGTATACCATCGTTAGACTACGGCTCTCAGTATAGGTGAGCTCCTTCCGTCCCTCCGTCCCGTTGCTCGTTGCTGATCCACTCCCTCTAGAGCGTGTATCCGTCGAGCAACGTTGCTCAGTCTCTGGTCGTTCCGTGGAGGTTCGACAAACTCGTCATCGGTCCTCGTATCGATATCTTGTGCCTGGGCTAGGTTTTGTGCCCGTGGCAGTGTTGGCGATCTTCATTGTACGTCTCTATTTTACTAGAATCTTCCCGTGTTCCACTTGAGGTTCACACTCTACACAGGATTCGCTTCGTTTCTGGTTCTGCTTCCGGAGCCCGAGTGCTTTGCAGCACTAGTTTGCTTGCGCAGACAGGAGAATCTACTTTACATCTTGCAAAGGTGTTCCAGTTGTGGCTGGTTTTGTCGCAGCTGCTGTTGACCCCCTTGACCGCGGTTTTCGGGTCATGGGCGTGTGAGTCTGAATTCTATTGTTTATCGCCACAACATATCTGATGGTGTTGCTTGCAGGATGTACTCTCCCTCGACTTCCCAGCTGTCTAGCGAGACGGGCTGGATGAATCGAGCGACTGTATAAGGGATGGACATCCGTTGATCCTTTCAAATCAATTACCCCAGGACATCTCGTCTGAGAAGGCTTTTGTCGCAGGGAAGGGACCACAGGACGGTAGAGTGGCCGCCTTCGGCTGTTCGCCAGGTTGAGCGCCTTTATTGAGCTGTTTGCCAGGCCGAGCGCCTTTGGCCGGCTTCTCGCCAGATTGTGTTAACCGCCGCTGCACTTTAGTCTACCTATCAGACAGGCTGTGTATCATGTAGTCAAGTTTTGATGCACGGCTAATAAAAATTTCACACGAAAATAACTGCGTGAATAAGAGTTGAACAATTAACCCATAAGATGATTTGACGGGTTGCACTGTTGACTCCGCGTCCTTGCTATCTTCGGGTTTATCACTCCACATGAGCTGTAGATTGCTGTGTAAGTAGTGGTGCTGTATCGAGATCACTTCAAAACCGGGCTATGTGAAGTAGTTGGCTTATAGAGACGGTGTTCCGTCAACTCGAGCGCACCCTTTTCCACAGGTCATCCTAGAGCATCTCCGTCTCTACCTTGCCACCTGCCATGAGCTACCAAGCACCACCAGCCTACACTGCCAAACAGCAACCCCCGCCGTCGGGCTATCGCATCCCGCTCGAGGGCAACTCTCAGTTCCCTGGCCCGCAACACGCTGGTGCAGCTCCATGCTACGACCTGGACCGCTCCCCAGTGTACATCGGCTCTGCGATCCTCGAGGACAGCGTGCACCCATGCAAAATCGCGCCGCACCTCGACCCACCGTGCCGCGTGGGCTACGGCGGACAGGAGCTCAGCCACCGCGGGCGGTACGATCTTCTGCCGTATGACCCTGCGACGATGGAGTGGGTGCCCGCGAGCCTGGGGCGCATCCCCGACGGACGCAGGCCAGTCGAGGGCGGGTACGAGAATAACGGGGCGCGGTTGTATCATGCATGCGCGGTGTTTCAGGGGGTGAGGGTGCCCGGTAAGACGGGGCAGCACTTGGTGAGTCGCTGAGCTTGTGTGGGGTGTAGGAAGGCAAAGATCTGATGGGACATGCGCTGTGCCTGCTTTATAGTCTGGGGCGAACTTTGCGTTTGGCGGGGAGCAGGTTATCGAGCGTGGATACGAGATTCTGTGAGTTGACCGAGGTCTTGCTTGCCGTGTTAAGTGTGTTCGGCGTGCTGATCGCCGACGCGTTCACACCACAGATGCTGGCGCCATTGAGCGATCGGACGGCTTAGCTCCCGTCGGTGGAAGATCATGAGCGAAGAGATGCGAGATGGAGGAAGAGTGAGCAAGAATAAAGCATTGAACTAAACTACAGTGTGCCGCAGCGTCCGCGTATACGCAGCTTTTGGTGTACCCCGGAATACATATTAGTGTACTCTACCGACAGTCCGATCAGCCTCGTCTCTCCCGCTGATGGCTCCCGCGTATGACGCGAAAGCCCTCAGCATACACCTCGCGCCACATCGCATCGCGATTGGGAGTACCTCATGAGAGAGTGAATACCTATGATGCAGCGGCGACGGTGGCGGCGGCGGCAGCCTGCTGGGCCTGCTGCACCTGCGCCTGGGCTTGCTGTGTAGGGTGAAGCAGCGCGGCGCCCATGGCCTGCGTGCGGAACGCGAGACCACGCGTCTTCTCGATGACGGTCTGGTACACTGGCAGGGGGGCGCGGTGGATCTCGATGACATTCTGCGCAGCGTGGATAGTGAGTACAAGCACAACCTGGTATGTGGCTGAAGGAGCGGAAAACGCACCTTTTCGAGATCGATCCGGGCATCTGCGCCCATACGCGTCTCACGAATGAGGTTGACGATCCACTTCTCGCCTTCGTCGCGCGAGAGGTTGAGGCGCTCGGAAAGGTCGCTGAAAGTAAGGAATTCAGGACGCATACACGCATATATGCAGCGATTGGAACGTACCCGATGTCGATGCGCTGGTGAATGCGGCAGTACGCCTCACTGATGAGGTACCGTGCATTGTCGATGAACTCGTCACGGAACTCGCCGAGGAAGAAGTCATCGCCGACGACCCGCTCGGCAGCGAGCAACGCCTTCTGCGCGGCCTCAAAGTCAAAGTTGACATAGAGCTCGCGGAGGAAATCCGTCACGGGGTCCTGGTACTGGTACTCCTCCGTCTGAATGACACGCACGACCTCCTTGAGCGCGTGGCGCACGCGCGCGGGGGCGCCGCCCGTCGCCGCTGCTTTCCGCGCGAGCACGGCGCCGGCGGCGAGGTATCGCAGCACCCAGGGGCACGCGGTCTGGATGGTGTTGAGGTACGTGGGGACGAGGAAGGTGTCGAGGAGGAGGGTGCGGCCCGAGGGGTGGTTGAAGTACACGAAGAGGGCCCAGTGGACGAGCCACGTGCGGGAGTGCAGCTGCGCGAGCGCGGCGTCGCCGGCGGAGGGAGCAGCGTGTGCGGAGGGGGCCTGGGCGGCGCGGGCGTCGACGAGCTCGCGGAGGGCGGTGAGCTCCTCGAGTGCGGTGTCCCATTTGCCGGTGAGGATGTCGGCAGCGAGTTTGCCCCAGGCGGCGGAGGCGTTGAGGTCGGCGTCGGTGGAGAGGACGCGGAAGTGGTAGAGGTAGTCGGCGGCGCCGGAGTAGTTGCCGTAGGTGTATTGGAACTTGCCGAAGTTGTAGAGGGCGGTGATTTGTTCGAGAGTGAGCTGGAGATTTATGAGTTTCGGAGATGGGGGTACACAGAGGGGTAGATATACGGACGTTATAGTTGTCCTTGAGGTACTGCAAGTTCTGGTTCTTGTCCTGGCGGAGAGCCTGAGCAACATCCGGGTTCTCGATCACGTCGAGAACAGCCTGGGCTTCTTGTTGGAGGCGTTCGTTGGTAGAGACGGCAACGTCGCGTTTCTGAGAGAACTCTGAAGGGCGATGCGTTGGTTAGTAGTAAGCTGGGTCACAAATGTCGGTCGAACCTTCTGGTACAGGCTCCCCTGGGTTGAGCTGCTCAAAGAGAGAGACAGCATAGTCGACCATGTTGGTGCCCTTTGCGAGCTCATACTGTGCAGCCTGGACCTGCTCCTGAGGGAAGAGATTCGTCTCTGAGAGATGTGCGAGAAGTGGGAACGCAAGATGGCGGTCCAGGTATGGGATTATCGTCTGAGAGAGATCGTGGTCGGCCATGCTGGGCAAAAGCGTAGAGGATCGGTGGATGGGGAGGACGCGATAAACGTCGGCAAGCACAATCTTGACGATGATCGCGGCACCGCAGAGGACGAGATGGACAGGCAAATTTCGATTCCAAATTTAGAAATACACAGCCACATACACGTACACTGCGCGAGGGGACTGCGAGGGGCCAACACACGTCTCACCTCCACCACTCGGGCCCCTCTCCTCTTCGCTTAGAGCACTGGTCATGACAGCAATCACAAAGAATCTGCCTTGGTTCATTCGCGACCTCGGTGTCTCCATTGTCGGACAGGTGAAACTTTTCGAGCACTTCGATACGATGACGCTGACCAGGTTTCATAGAAATGCTACGAGTCTATCGTTGAAGACCTCAACCTCGGCGATGTCGAGTGTCTCAAGTACTCTCTCTCTAAAGGCCTTGGGCTTGGGATCGTTGTCGGAGGCTCTATCATGAAGGTTCCTCAGCTCCTTCTCAGTGCGTCACCTCCTTCACTCCTTCAGTCCCTTGCTGACGCATACATCCAGTTCTTAACGCCCGTTCAGCACGCGGCCTCTCCCTGTCTGCCTACGTCCTCGAGACGCTCGCATACGCAATCACCACCTCCTACGCATTCCGCAACAACTTCCCCTTCTCCACCTACGGCGAGAACCTCTTCCTCGCCATCCAGAACACCATCATCACCCTCCTCATCGTTCAACTCACTCCGTCCCCTCCTTCACTCTCCAAGCCCGCCCAATCCACTGCACCCCGTGTACTCGCCGGCGCCGGCGCAGCCGCACTTGCGTTCGTTGCACTCTACGCTGCACCCTCCGAGGCGCTGTCCGCGCTCCAGCTCGCCACACTCCCGCTCAGCGTGCTCTCCAAGCTTCCGCAGATCAGGCAGAACGCGCGCGCCCGCTCGACGGGCCAGCTCTCCGCGTTCGCTGTCATCGCCCAGGTCGGCGGGTGCGCCGCCCGCTTGTTCACCACAGCGGCCGAGGTCGGCGACATGCTCGTCGCCGCGGGCTTCGTCATCGCGCTACTACTCAATGTCGTCCTCGCCGCGCAGATGTGGATGTACTGGGGCCGCGATGATGTTCCTTCCGCTGTCCCCGCGTCGGTCATGAGGGAGAAGGTGCCTCAGGACCAGATTGACGTTGTGGTGCCGCCCAAGTCGCCCTTGGTGCCGCGTCAGGGCTTGCCACGCACTGCGTCGCCTATCCCTAGGCGCTGGTCTCGCAAGGTCGATTAAACCAAGCTCTGCTGCTTGGTGATAGCGTTTCTTCCAGTTTATATGCGACTAGCTTAGATAACTTATTGCTTACGCTCCTGTGCTGCAGTAATCCGTGTTCAATGGGCTCCATTGTGCCTTTGCATCTATCCGACCCTCATCCGTCGGGCTACAGGTTTGTTGCATGTGGCATAACATAAGCAGGTTGAGAAGCTGGAAGATGATATCCGTGTACTGGCCGTTACCGTCTCGCACGAGACGCCACCTCGCACTGATTTGGTCTGGTTTACCTGATGTTCCGTACCATCGCCGTTTTCACTGCGCAGCCGGTGATGTGATACGACGCACTATCCTGCATTGGTGTGTGTTGACAGGCAAACGCGGGTAAAGGCTGAAATGAAGCTGTTTTTGGTGCAGATTGCCGTCGACGAGCTGCAGCTAAGGAAACTTGAACAAAACCAACTCTGGGGGGCAGGTTCGGGTCCACCCCAATGACGTGGAATAAAGCTATTTACTTGTTGGCTGTAAGAAAGGTCGTGTGCTAACCGTGATCAAAGAAACGGGACCGTATTTAATAGCTAGCAAGTGCGAAAGACGGCAATAGCAGCATCCATTGCATTCGACAGTGGGAATCCGTAGATCTTGGGCGGTTAAGAAGGTTGCCCTGTGCCCACTCTCATGTACACTCAAGTACTCATCCCGTGCACGTCACTGATGTGTGTCTCTGCCATCTCAGGTATTTCCACCATAAATCCGGATCTTAACGTCGTTGGGATGGATATGCCCCCAGTGTTCCTATCATGTAGTTAAAGAGCAATCATGGTGTTGCAGGCGCGCTTCGTGCAAGGCAGTGAATCCGATGATGGCTGTTCAAACGTTCACATCAAGCAACTTGTACGTCTTTTTCCCAGTTTCCCCGAGACATTCCTAATATATATCTTCCCTATATCTTCCCACTCTCCTCGTGGTATGTATAAAGATATTCTTGGCGCATGGTTTTCTCGCTGCCGCAGTATCAACTTCTGCTTTCCGTCGTTATTATCATGTAGTGCAACAAATGCACTGGTATGATATCAGTCCAAGGAACTTAGATCCTGTTTCCAAAGCAAACTAGCCACAGCCTGTTCGTCTGGCTGTATAATGAAAAGATCTCTCCCACGGCTTGGTATCAGGAGTTAAAACCGTCGTCGTCCCCGAGCCAATGGCTAGTACCTAACCCATACTTTACCCCATACACGTTCACACCATAATGCCTCTTCTCCTCTCAGACTCGTCTTCCCTCATCTCGTCGCTAGAGGAGACCAATGTCTTCAGGTATTTAATAGGTGAGTGCATTGGACGCTCTGTCACCTCCAATTTCTAAGCGAATCGCAAGTGGCTGAAACGGTCGTGATGATCTGCGACTCGTGTTCTCTGCTTCCCACTGAGATAACGCACATATGGGGGCGGCTACCATGGCTATGGCAGACCGCATATGGCGTCAGCAAGTATGGGGTACTTTTTATGTTGTCCATCTTTATTTTAGGTCAGTATATTTCGCCTTGTACGTCAGAAACCGGTCAACTAAACTATGCCCTTTCAGTATCTGCGCCTCAAGGCCACTTCTCGCAGCACATGGTACGTTTGATGCACGTTATTCAATTCCGTGTCATCTGATCCATCGATTATAGTAAGAGCGAATTGAATATATTTTCTCAAGATCATCCAACTTATCGCGGTGTAACCAGTTGCTCCTCACTAATTTGGCTTGCGGCTGTACTGTACTTTGTGTCAGATGCTACCGGAAACTGTGAGCAGTAGCAAAAGTACTAGCAACATCTTAATCACTGATGACTGCCGCAATAGTATTGACAGTGTTTCGTGTTTTCATGCTGTGGAATCGCAGCAGAAGAGTTTTCAAGTTTCTGCTTTTTGGAGCTGTGTGCACATGCATCACGGGATTATTGTCTCTGCTAGCCACGGCGAAGAAGATGACGTTAGCGAGTATAGAACATTCTTTCGATATCTTGAACGCAGCTGAGATAAATAGTTTTGTAGACTCTGACAGTTCACTGGCGACGTCGGAAGTCATTGGCGGCTGCTATCTAGGAGGAGTGAGTAATGGCTACATCATCGGTGTGTACGTTTCCGAGGTATGTTACGTGCACTGCAGTGCAGACCGGGAGGACCTTTGATGATGTTATTGGCAGGCCGTTTTCGAAACATACGCCCTACTTCTAGTTCTATGCAATGCAGCCGCTATTCCCCGGAGATCGGATCAGGATCTTCGGTCAATGCTAATAGACCACGGCGCTCCACTAATTGTCGTGAGTGCCATGTATACCTTACCTATTAATAGTGCTAACCATAATTTGAGTCAGATCGTCTTCGGTACGTTCTTGAGCTAGAAGCTAGAAAATCAAACAACGGCCGTTAACAGTACTTACACCAGTGTTACGTATGCTGAACATAATCCTGTTTGCTGCAGCCAAAGTAAGATAACTATTTCTGATCAAGTATCCACTAATACTATTCCCCTAGAATGTCGCGTTCGCATTTGGGGTAATGTCAGTAACAGAAACATCAACTCTCAAGTCACCATTTCCAACTAATAGTTGTTCGCTATTTGCAGGTTTGTTGCACCCATCATAGCCATGCTAAACGCTCGTATATTTCTCAAAATTTGTCATTACTGCGAGAGGACAGAGCACACCTGGGTAGTGAACGAGATAGACTCTGAGTGTGAGGTAAGGGCATCTACTGTATACATTTGCGCTCAAATAACTGACGAGTAGAGATATTGAACACTTGAAGGGCTCATGGACGACCTCCCGAAGGTCCAGTCAAATGACGTCATGACCACAAGTGTAGTAACTTGAAGTCACACAACGCTCTGAAGGTTCACACTCGTCGAAGTTTATACGAGCTTATTTCAGGCAAAATTACACTCTGTTTGCTATGTTAAATATGCCGCAAGCTAGGGGAGAAATCATGAGCTACTGAAATGTCACTGGGAGATGTGTTGCAGCTGACATTGTGATTTTCGAGGGTGCCTCAGGATGGGAGCATCAGTGACAACTTACGAGATGTTTAAGATGTAGTTGCTTGCTAAGGACCTAGCATTTAGTGAAAGTAAAGACTGGCACAAGGCCACGGATCGGCTTAGCACCGACAGTCAAACAGACAACCACATAGCGTATTGGGCACCCCCATAGGCAAACTGGAGATACTGGTGTAAAATATCCTGCACATGACAACGTGTTTGACTATGTGACGTTTCAGTCCACACAATATTATGGAAGTCAGGTTGGAACGCATTAATCGTGACGTTTTATGTAGTGTCAATAGATTCAGAAAGGATTTGGTACGATGTCACGCCCCTGCCATCCTTGTCCAAGCCCACCTAATACACTGCACGGGCCGCACATTCGGTAACCCGCCATGAAAACCAAATGATCTTTCTAGGTCAAATATTCCGAGCCTAAGGAACATTCTTCATTGCACTCTTACGACCGGTCGCCGAAGGATGAATGTTGAGTGGCATACGTTGCTTCCGTCAGGGCTAACAGTCCTGGGAGCAAACAAACAGAGATCATTCCTCTGGCGGAATCGTGAGCAGGATGCGTACGAAGAGGCTGGTCCTCTTTTGCAACGTCGCTAAGGTGTCTACTATGTGGATCTGGTGCAGTACCTATTCCTAACGACCAACTTGTAAGAGCATTGGACACTTTTCATTACGGCAACCGCGGAGCGGAATCAACCTGCTGTGTGCGAATTGCAACGAGAGCAATGTTCCCATGATGGCCGTTGATCAACACAAGCACGTCTCCTTCTTATCCGCCTCAAGAAATGTTTTGTGTCCACTAGTCTCATGTCCACATTCTACTCGTGTGTTGATGATTTCCATTCTTGGATTTTAGACCCTTCGCTTTAAGGGAAACCGCCTTCGTCTCTTCCGTCGCGAATCACTTGCATACGTGGATCCGGTGCGGATTGATACCACGACGCGGGAACCATGCACCGCCCGATATTACATCTAGCTATATAATCCAATGCACCCTCCCACGAGTTTTGGTGACAGGCTTAAAAGCATCGTCTTTCCGAAGTCAAGAAGTGTGAGCTGACTTATCAACACCCCACGCCTGCACTTTCCAATTTCTCTTTTCCCCCCTGCGCTCCGCTTCCATGCCAGCTTTTATATATGAGATAGGCGTTGTAACCAGGTATTTAATAGGTGAGTGAGTCACATGGGCCGACATCGTGGTGTCTGAGTGGTTCAAAAGCGGCTGAAACTGTCATCACCGTCTACGACTCATGTTTTATGCTTCGACGCGAGTTACAATACATATGGGGGAAAATCCCTTGGCCTTTACAAGCTGCATATGCAGTAAGTAAGTATGCGGTGCTTCTTATCTTAGCCATAGTTTCTATGAGTGAGTGCTTTTACCATATGTTCCGGAACACAGGAAAATACAAGACAATATTCCAGTATCTATGTATTCCTATCCCTTGTCTGGGTACACGGTGAGTTATATGCACACAGGCGATGTATCACATTGCCTGACATAGTTTGATATTAGTGAGGATATATCATGTCTACTCTGACAAACTAAACCGGCTTACCTCCGTACGACTAGCTGCAACTCACTCATATGGACCGCGGCTATAGTGTACTTCTTATGCGACACTACAGGAAACTGTGAGTGCAGCAATCATGTTACTCTTTCTTTCTACTGAATAACAAGGACTTTGGCGTTAGGTTTGACCGTATTTCGTGTTGTCATGTTATGGAATCGCGACAAGAAAGTCTTTAAGCTTCTGATTCTTGGATCAGCGTGCGCATGCCTGATAGGATTAGCATCTTTGCTGGTTTCTGCAAAATTAATGGTATACGATGGTGAGGATTATCCGTCAATACGTTTCCAGCGGCTGGAACACGCGCTGGTCTAGATTACATTAATTGGAACTCTGGGGGAGGTGGGCTTAGCGAAAGCTGTCACTTGAAAGAAGGTAGCAACCTGTCTATCATTGGTGTTTACGCCCCTGAAGTATGTGAAATATTCTATGGGACATATGGAATGAGGATTTAACATGGTTCTTAGGCTGCATTTGAGATATATGCGTTGATCCTTGTTTTATGCAATGCAGCCGCCATTCCACGAAGATATGATCAGGCTATTCTTACGATGTTGATGGATCACGGAGCACCGTTCATGATAGTAAGCTTTTCATCCAAATCTCAAAATCTGCATCATAAAAAGTCCTTGGTTTAGATCGTCTTTGGTGAGCTACTTAGCTAGCAAGGGGAGAGAATCACTTACAAGCTCAGTGCTGCGGCTTTTGAACGTCATACTGGTTTTGAAAGAACCTGTAAGACCATATGCTTTTCTTCTGAAGGCATGTACTAAATCTACCACTTTAGGGATTTGCGTTCTTCTTTGGAATCGTGTCTGTGACATTTGTGTGTCTATTTGTCAGTAACTAACTCCTGCCCCCCTTGCTCATAGGTTTACCTCGCCAATCATAGCAATATTGAATGCTCGGATTTTTATCAGAATTTGCCAGTACTGCGAACGCTCAGAACAGTCTTGGGAAGTAGATGACATAGATTCGGATTGCTAGGGAAGTACATTGTATGAATCCAGACTAGAGGCAACCTATGTACTAGAACACTGAATATCTTAAGGACCCGTGATCACCTTGATCACACACCCCGCGTGCGCGAGAGAGCAAGCGAGAGAGTTTCATAACTCGCAGTGTTTGTTGCCAAAGTGAAGTCATAGCATTGGCTCCTTTCCGGGTAATCAATAATGCATCATCGAAACCTAGCAGTGCAGCACGAAATCCGCACCGGGACACTATTCCGCGAAGGTAGACTACTCCCGAGATATAAGTCTATTCAGTCACCTGGGTCGCTGGCTACCGAACGGTATTAGACCACAGCCGGCTGAATGAACGTGATATGATGGGTTACGGCAAGGAGCGGCCAGAGCACCTCCGACAACCTACATATTAAAGCCCGCATAGCAGAAGCAATAAACAATTGTCAGCCAAACGTAGCAGTCGTAAGGACTTATCAAGTAGTACTCACGCGTCCTCTCTATCATGATCCTTCTTGCGCAGCACGAAGCTATTCACCATGCGCACGGTTGGCCCATCTTTTCTTCCGGCCTCCTCGAGCGGCGCAAGGTTCGCATACACGACCAACAGAGCACCCGCCGCACCCAAAAATCGCCAATCATACTCAAGGGGTACAGCAGCACCGCTGGGCACCTGCAATTTAAAGCGATGCGAGGGCAGTAGGCCGAGAAGCACAGACACGATGTCTAGCCGAGATGTTCTCAGTTCGGATGGTTTAGTACGTACGTTGCTGGACACCCCAGAAGAATAAAACGGTGACGATGACGATGCGGAAGAAGGAGAAGGAACGAAGCGATACGAAAACGTTGCGTTGTGTGCGTAAGCCAGTGCAAGTGACGCCCGGTCGTCGTCGTACGCGTGTATATAGCGCTTGATGTAGTCAGTCGTGAGCGCCCATAGCTTGTCTTCCGCTGGTGATGGGCTCAGCTCACGTGGGACTGGCGAATGGCTCGGTATGCGTGGAGTCGGTGATGATGATTGATGTGACGGCGGAGATGGGAGAAAGAGTGGAAGAGATTGAGGAGAAGATGGGCGCCGCCGAGGCGAAGGCGGAGCTGGAAGTGAGGTTGAGGGAGGATTTACAGGACGCGTGGGCGGAGACGGAGACGGAAGTGGGTCTGAAGGAGTAGACACAGGACGTGACGTCAGAGACGAAAGCGGCGCTCGATGCTGTGGTGGTGAAATCGAGGTGAAGTCAAAACGTGGATCTGCTCTCTTGACTAGCGGTGAGCCTGAAGTCGTAAGACTAATAGCCCGTGTTGAGGACGAAGAGGCCTGAGACACAGCAGGGCGAGGCGCAGACGGGCGAGACGCATCAGTCCGGCCTTCCTCTACAGGCGGTCGAAAGATAGGTGTTAGACCCGCAATCGTTCCGACGGAGCTGGGTTTAGATGTCGGTCGGGTAGATTGAGGTGGTTTGCCAGCTGAGCTCTGAGCCTTCCATGCCGAAGTTGTTGTAGGATCGTCTAACGTCGGCCGCACGGGCTCCTCGATGATCTGGATTTCGTCATCCGAGTCTTCTTTAGGGTTCAGCGGGCGCTCCGGTGTGCGTTCACTGGATGGAGCATGAAGGGTATGAATGGGCGTACGCTGGTGGATATCTGCGGGAATTGATTCAAGACCATTCGGAGGAGTGCGAAAGCTAGATTGTGATGGTTTTGCCGAAGCACCATAAGACGAGAAGGAAGAGGTGGAAGGTGGCCATGCTCTGGAATTAGTAGGTACAGGGGGAGGTAAAAGCGACCTGCGAGCTGCCGTTGGTGAAAACGCCCTGTACAGAGGCGATGTCGATGGGCGAGCGGAACGCGGAAGAGAGCCAGAAGCAGCCGACCGTGAGCTCGAGGTAGAACGGGTCGAGTCAACAGAGGAGCGCGCCACTACAGTGACGGCATTATGATTGTACGGGCTCGATGATGTATGCTGAGGCGTGGTAGGAGGGTGGGTTGCCACAGGTTGGTCTTGTACAGGCGGGGCAGTCGGAGGAGGGGCGACGGCTGTTACAGGCGGTACAACAGATGAAGATTGCGGGGAAGATGTAGACGCTGTGACAGTGACTCCAGAAACTGGGTTGGGTCTTGCATCGGGATGAGGAGGAGAATGGGTTGAAGACAAACCCACTTTCTGGTGATACGCAGAGGGTCGCGGGGGTACGGGGAGCTTTCGCTTGGGCGATATCTCGGCGGGTGTAGGTGGTTTAATGACGGAAGTAAGCTTCGGGGATGTAGAAGCCGGTGGCGTGAGCGGGCGAGGTTCCTCAAGCCGAAGTCGTTTGCCACCCAGAGCAGACACTGCTTCTTTTGTGTTCTGCGTAGGCTCAACTACCGCATATACCCCATAGGCCGGAGTTAGGGTATCTGTCCATACTGGAAAAGGGCTGGACCTGTTCGTTCCATCGTTCGTCAGTCGCCAGTCGCAGTCACGAGCTCATGGACACGCACCAGTCAACTGTTACTCCATCATCCCTGTCAAGGCGATTACCAGCATCAGCTGTCCGACTCCTCTCAAGCCAGCAGACCGTGCAGAATGCACCTTATGAAAAGCTTTTCCTTCTGTAAACCAAGCCTCTGTATCTCCCCAAGTTTCTGTTGGGCCCATAATTGCCGGTTGCGCTTATAGTTGGGGTCAGGAGGGTGACAATCGGCTGGGAACGGAGCAAAGCGCTTGGTGCCTTGACATGCTGATTGTCGGGGTGGCGGCGGCGGCGTTGGGCTGAGCTCGCGTTTTAATGGGCGTGTTGGGGAACCGTCGGGCTGCATCAAATGTGCCACTGGAGATGGCAGTAAGAGAACACGGAAGCCTGGGTGGAGAGATGGCAGTGCACACTGGGGCCAGTGCAGGACCCCGGCATGAGGCGGGCGAACGATTCGGAGTTCTGCCTGAATTGCTGTGCTCGCGTGGCCGAATTTGGCAGGTACTACTCGGGGTCTTCACTCGGCTGTCTCGGCAGGGCCATTTCGCGTCAGGGGCTTTTCCGCATCTTTGTGCAAACCGCTGTAATTCGCTTCATGGCTACTCACTGGAGAGTACTCGCCAACCCGTATCTAGGTCCAGGGGCACCCTGAATGATCCCCGTTACTTTCGAGATGCAAATTTAGCTCACTGCTAGCGCTCATCAGCATATGAGTTGCGACATCTCAATTCCCTTATGGACTCCAATCCGGACCTTGTGGACCATCATAGAATTCGGCATCACCAGATCTTTCGGGTCTGGTTCAATTTGAGCATGCATAGTAAATGCTTTACTTTCCTAGTAAATATATGGCTCCATGTCATGAACCTGAGAACAAGGGCATGATCATACCGTCTGTCTCACTCTTATAGACGCGAGTTCCGTGCGCCTTTCTTCCCCTCCCTCTACCCTGCATCATCTGCCTGGTCTATCTGCGAAGCGGCAACACGGTGAAATGACTGACATATCTCGAAGGCCGCTTACTCTCATCACCCTTCCCGTGGACATACTTTACACCATTGTTTTCCACCTTTCCTCAGCAGACATCCTAACACTCCGCCAAGTAAGTCATCTTTCATCACTGGTATATGTGGCAACTAACTTTGTAACAGGTATGCATGTGCCTCTCCGAATTCACGAAAGAACACCCTGTATGGACACAAGCGTACCGTGCGTCACCGGTCATCCGACCGCCGGGGCCCTCCCCGCTCCAATCTCGGGAGGAGATCGAGCGCTCATTGTTGAAAAGCATGCGAGTAGACGCCCGTTCGCGAAACACCCTACCATATAACGAAACTTACGTCAAAGACATCAAACTTCCCAAAGAGACCATCTTCATAAAACTTCTCTTCAAAGGAACGTGGCTGTTGCTTGCGGACCATTCCGTTGTGCGGTCTTCTTGTCTGCGCAGTTGCGCGTACAAGGAGCTGCACATCCGTGGAAGCGAGGTGTACAGTGTCAAGGATGGGTATCAGATTACACAATTAGCATCCGTACAGACGACATCGCGTATTGGAGAGCCGCTGACATTTATGGCGCTCGCGGAGTGCTTGCTGACGGCGCAGGTCAAATCTACCATGTACGTCTCAATTTCGTGGCATGCGTCCACAGCTACATCGGTGCTAAATGTGTCTAGCAACACTTTAAAGGTCTTCAAAGTGACAATGCAGGAGGACGGCCCAGTCTTTCGTCTTGTATGCGAAACCGAACGTTCAGGTCCCGTCACGCGTTTTGACGTTGCGATAGGGCCTCGGCTCCTTGTTGTTACGGTTGGCAATAAGAGCGAAGACGTAGCCATGCTTTTGGACGTCGATACATTTAAACGTTATTCACTCCCAATCCTCCGCTCAAAAGACTGCGTGAGTAATTTGTACTCGTCATGGTAGAGTCTAACAAAATACCCGCTATTAGCAGATTTTCAACGAGGTAGACACCGTTATCTCAACGTCAACCCATCTTCTCGTGTCTAGCCTCTGCAGCCGCCACTCGGGAGGCGTGCCTTCTTGCACTGTCGACGCATTTTTTATTCCACCAGCTGGAGCTCACAGTGTGAGCAGCGAGACCATTCTTGAACGCTCTCATAGCGGCGTTCTTGGAGGCATAGAGGTTGACTCTTTCTCCAGGCTCCTCCATGACACATTTTCGGATAACCATACGAATACATGCCGTATCAGTGTTATGGCTTGCGTGCATGCGGAGGACAAGACACACCGCGCGCTGACAACTGCAGGTGATATCATCCTCTATCCCGGTGTCGCAGGCACTGTAGGAAAGGTCTGCTGGGAGACCACCATGCATCTCGAGTCCCTGAACATGGTGTCGCTCAGCTTTCACGGAAGCTTGAACGGCCTGTCACGCGGATTCTACAAGCAGACGTTAACGTTCCAAGAGAAAATTGGGGTGTGGTCCTTTGGCCACGAGGATGGGTCATCAAAGATGGAAGTACTTCCCATTCACCCTCGACTCGGCTGCGATATTGTGGCGCACGACGAGTATGAAGGTATTCTATGCGTTAGATACGGTGCAGGGGCGAGGCGGCTTTGGAGGTGTGGTTCTACGGATAACTCCGAGTCACAGCTACTAGAACCCTTCCAATCGAATTCGACGCTGAGCACTTGTTCCGCATGATTCTCTTACATTGTATTACTGGTATCCCTTCACCTACCTTCGCTTGAGATTAAACCACGTGTATGTCATTCATCTCTGCAATTCGATTTAGATTCAGCGACTCCTTAAGCGTACCATATGTCCTCACGGATGTACACCATATCTTCCTCTGGTGCATTCGAGCACTATACCTGTTCACTCCTAAATGTAGCAAACCACAAATTTCCAATCCCTTCTTCACCGGCAAACTCATCCATGAACTCTCTCGGCATCAAATCTATAAATACTCATGATCATGATGGGCCCGAGCATGCAGTTCGAAAATATCAACAGCGCCGCGATGAACACAGCGGAAGTAGCATCTTGTCCCTGTTTGAATAAATAAGAAGTCATTCGGTTTACTCTCAAATGTCTTGTACTCACCAAAGCCGCCGAACCCGTTGGGAGATAAGTCATTGCCAGTATGGTCCATGCTAGTGATGCACTTCGCAATGTGATCAGCATATTAAAGAGAATCGATGTGATCATGACGTACATTATGAAGTAAAGGGTGTGGTCCCTCGCCATCACAGCCAAGAATGTTCCCGTGTTCCATATGGAAGTACGAAAGCTACTATCGAAGTGATTCTTGCAATAGTACAATACCATACTAAATAGCATTATCTTGGAGCCACACGTCACGAAGCTGCTGACAAGCTCAAGCCAGCCTGTAGCTGCCGAAACGCTGTAAACGCACGTAGTTGGCGAATCCAATACTATTCAATATTCATATTTCAGATAAAAAGGCATATGGCAACTTGAAATGGAATGCATACCGGATATGTTCACTGTGATAATCAGTGCAACCGCAGCAGATATACTAAGCACCTGATTAAGGGCAAAGCAAGCCGCCAGAAATTTGAGCACTGTGACCGAGCGGCCGTACATTGCATAAACTCTCAAGCTCATTGTCACTAGAATAACACAATTAAGAGGTCAATGCATGATGGCGCCGCCTCACGTACCACTGAGTGCGAAAATTACTGCAGTTTGAACGACTCCATCACTAAGGACGACAAATCCCATGACTTTGAAGGATAAAATGTTAGCATGCACGAGGTCATCAGCAAGTTGGAAATATCTCTCACAGCTGTACCATAGGGCATTTGATGATATGAATCATGATCGGATTGCGGGCTGAAAGAGAAGCTCACAGCTGGAGAACCATCGATCAGCAAATAGTCATTTACAAGTGGGATATGACCTACGTCGTGAGATAACCCCATCTGTTCCAAGGACACTTACAATGTATTCATGCGTTTTGCCTTCGAACATCATGGTATGACCGACATACTCACCTAAGTATATCCTGTTTATTCTCATTGAGTACAGACCCTTGATCGAGCAGAAAGAAAACTGGAGGAATAAAGAATCGCTCACATTGCTTGGATGAATCCGCCGTAGTGTAGCTTTTGATAGTCTCAATATCAATGATCGGCCTCATTGAGGCCAGTGACTTACCACTCCATAAAGGGACATTATCCGCCATGAATATTTGAATGTCCGTGCGACTGATGGGATATTGTGAGCTTGAGAGTGCTTCGACTCGGAACCAAAAAAGATTCAGAGACTCTCACCCAAATTAGGTCCATCCAAGTCATCTAAATGTGTGCACAACATATCCCCACCAATATCCCGATCCCGAAGCAATGTTTAATAACCTACCTCTTCATCCATGTTCAAGACTACGAGAACTTCGATAAGAGCGGAAGAGTGCTAAGAGCATAAATTTAGTTGCTCACGTATTCTGTAAATCACTAAGAACGACATTCCGCCTGCGCTTCTAGTTAGTGGATTCCTGTGCAATCTGATGGAATGAACACCGGCATGAAGTCCAGCTGTAGATCTGTTCCACACTTTGTGCCAGTGTCATCGAAGACAATGTCAAAAGTTATGCCCGGAAAGATGTGTATTGCTAGCCCTGTTTGTTAATTCACGAGCCCTTTGGCGGGGTGCTTGCAAGAGGGAGGCTTAGCTGGAGTTCCGCCCTGAGCTGAGAAGGCTTGTATTCCAACTTTTATTCGCTGCGATGGGATCCTGGGATATCCGCGGCTCAGAAACGCAAATTCATGGACCAGATAAGTGGCATCCTACAGGGAGAGTTTGGTCCTTGCGTTGTGCCGACGCGCACTGCCTCAGAGCGTTTCCCACATCCCGAAGCAATACAGATCCTTCTTCGCATCGCATGGGCAAGGCTGAGGCGGTTTGCATCAACTACGGTCATATACCGCCGTAGGTTCTGAGGCGATGGCGTCGGACGGGCGGACTTTTGAGAGGCGACAGGTGTCGAGTCAGCGGAGAATCAGCTCGTTTGGCGAGGCCGTCGAGTGAGCTGACATCTGGCGGGACAGTAAGTAAACGGGACGCGGGTGGTCAATACAATAGTAGTGTGGCGGGGAACAGTGAAGATAAGGCGATGGCCTGGAGTGAGCTGAGCGGGCTAGGAGGAAGGAAATAAGCAGCAGATGGGCAACTAAATAATAGCATAGTAAGGGTACTTAAAGTAAGACGAGGGCATCGGGGGAGCTGACTGCGCGGGAGGGGAGGCGGATGCCTGCGTGCGGATTGATAATCTAATAGTATAGCGGGGATGGTTAAGTTAACCGATGATGTCGAGTGAGCTGACAATGTGGGAGACGGGCGGGCGGATGGTCATCAGATCAGAATGATCATCGTATGACGTAAGGCTACAAGCGGCGCGCGATACCGTCGGGTGAGCTGACCAGGGTTGGGTTACGCGGGCGGGAGGTGAGTGGACCCGAATAGAAAGGAACATAGTAGGGATGGCGACACTGGGCCGATACCATCGAGGGAGCTGACCATGGTTGGAGCAGGCGGGCGGGGAAAGCAATACAGGGATGATAAAGATTGTACTTGAGAGGGCAAATCCTGCCGACGGCATCGAGCGAGCTGACTAGAGCTGCGTGGGCGGGCGGGGCATGGCTCGTTCAGCATGTGAGGGATTGTACGCAAAAGGGCCAAAGGTACCGATGCTGTCGGGCAAGCTGACAGAGACCGCGACGCGAGGGCGGAAGGCGGTCGGATGACTCAAATGATAACGTACGGGGAGGTGCCCCAATGCCATCGAGCGAGCTGATCCAGCGGGAGATCCGCGGGCGGGTGGATGCCATATGGTCTAGACGTA